AGGCAAAATGGCATGACTAAAAGCCCTAATCTGGCTCCTAAAGGAACGACCTCATCATCCTAGGGCTGGTCGGCTAAGGGTTTATCCGAGGCATGTCCCGAACCTCCTGCTTGGGAGGTCGCCGCTTCATTGTCCTCCTACGCCATAGACATAAGTGTATCCCGCCAGTCCTTCGGGAGGTCGGACATATCAAGTCACGGATTCTTTGGTCGCAAGGCATAGATAGACTCGATCGCCCATTCGACAGCCTCCTCCTCAACCTCCGCTGCCTGATTCTACATCTCCTCTGTCAAGGAAGAAACTTTTCCCTAACTTGCCTGAAGTTCAGCTTCGAGAGCTTGCCTTTGCTTCTCGGAAGCGTCTTTTTCTTGTTCTGTTCGCAAGGCCCGTAAAGAGGTCGCTTTGAGCTCCTGGTCCTTCTCCCTGGCCTCCTTGGAGAGTCTGGCTATGGTCCTTTATAGCTCATTTATTTCCTCTCCATGCTTCTCGAGCTGCGCTTTTTGGCAATCCACCATGTGAAAAGCCGCGTCCCTTTCATTTAGGTACTAGTTCGCTGACTCAGAAGAGAGGTTTCTCTCTATTTCGGTAGCTTCCAGGCTTCGCTTGAGTGTTGCATTCTCTTCCTTCAGAGCAACCTCCCCCTTTGCGGCTCCTAGTTGAACCTTCTCGAAAGACATTCACATGGAAAGAAGGACTGCAAACAAAGAAAGATAGAGTTAGCTAATCAAAGGGAGCAAAAGGTAGTCCTCACCGAGGACAGTTCGTTCACCTTGCTTAAGTGTTAGACCAATGTGGACATTAGGTCCACGTCGCTAGAATTTGTGAACTGCTCAAATGATTCCGAGAGTCCGCATTCCAATAAAGTATAGACCACTGGCTGCAGGTACTTCGGCAGGTTCCCCAATGAGTCTAACACTAGAGTATCCTTCTTCGTGCCTTCAGCAGTGGTCGTGTCGTCCATCGGTTCCTTACCCGACCTTCTTCCGATGTCCTTCTGCGACCTCTTGGGCTGCTCGCCCTCAGACTCGGTCTCTGACTCTTCGACCTAAATCTGCCTCCTCTTCTTTCGTTGAGCCATTGTCTTCATCCTGGGGCGAGCAGGCGACGGCTGGGAGACCTTCGTGGTCCGCATTGGCGCGTCTTCTAATGGCTGTGGCTGAGAAGTTCTGACAGGTCGCGCCAGTTAGCCTGATGTTGCGCCTTCAGCCGAGGGGATAGTCAGAGCAGCATCGGTCGCCTTGGCTTTTTTCGACCGAGGAAAATTGAGCAGCCTTCTTCGCGGCTGCTCTGACTCCTTCGGAGGCATGGTCGTTGCATGCAAAGCATCGTCAGCAAAGGTATTCCACCTCACGACCAGAAAAGAATCAGTTAGCAGGACTTACTCGATGGGGGCTCTAACGATGTGTTTGTGTTGAAGAAACCGTATTTTCTCAAATTTACGGTCGTCACGAGTTTCTTCGTGTCGCGCTTGTCCTCGGGTAGGGAACTGAAGTGCACGATCCTACTTCTATCGAAGAGCAACCCTCAGTCAATCGTCTTGTTAACTGTCAGAAAGGAATCAGGTCATTAGAAATAGCACACTTCAAATGTAATAAGTTTGTCATTAAAAAAAAAAAAAAAAAAAAAAAAAAAAAAAAACAAAGAGAAAGAGGCCCACTCGATTCCTGGAAGCGACAATGGCCATTATAGCGAAAGAAGAAAAACTTCGTTTCGTAGGCCCCCGTGTTGCTAGGATGACTGTGTATTCCCTTGGCGATAGTAGGTCGTCTGGACAAGTAATAAGAATCCTTGTCCTTGCTCTTTTTCAAAAAATATGAGCAGTCGATCTCCATCGCTGTCAGCTCACCTAGCCCGTTCTCCTGGCATGCGATGTACATTGCTACGGCAATGACATACGCGTTCAGAGTCAGCTGCATCGACGCGACCTCGAAGTGGTCCAAAAACGACTTGATAAAAGGGTGGAAGGGGATCAGTCCCCCACCCTTGATGATCTCCTTGGAGATCGCGGCCAAGCTACTTGACGGGTATCATGATGAGTGTTTCAGGTCATGGAAAACGTCCACCTCGATACCATACTATTTTATTACCCTCTCAAGCTCGTCCTCGGTAAGTACCGAGAAGACCTCGAGAGAGATACTTGGAGCACCCTGCAGGGACAAGCCGGTTCCCTACTCGGATCTAGTTGTTGAGGGGTCCATTTTGCCAGTCTGCAAAAGAGACAAGCAGAAGGGTCATTTAGCCGCCGTACGCTATTTCGTACGATGACGTGGGAGGAAACAAACTCCCCAAATCCCAAAGAAAACCCTAATAGCACGATTCGAGCCACCATTCATGGCTCGAACCCAACGTAAACGTCTCGTCTCCGATGGGTTACCGGAAGACTGACGCCATTTAACCATGAAAATAATGAAACAACGACCGAGAAGTTCTTACCTCTCGGAGTATGAGAACAGCTTCTGCTTGACATGCCGGAAAAATGCAGGTTTGGAAGACAAAGGTTCCAGGCTTGCGAAAATCTTTTGCTCTATGTGAAAAAAGCTCTGGTGACATTGCCTGAGAACGATTCGAGGTTTTTATAGCATGTCAATCGGCATTTGGATTTCTCAAAATCGAAACGGTGTTTGGGCGACAAAGATTTCTTATCGTTGATCACGGCCACGTGTCGCTCATCAGCGGGGAAGAGTGAGCGTCACGACTGGATAAATTCAAACCTTCATCTTTCCCGTTGAAAAGGTCAAACGACGGCCATATCTCTCTCAGAGCATTAATTGCATCTCAAATCCACATTTAATGCTCTGATAAGGGGTGTCGTTCCAACATATAACGCATTTAATGTTCTGATAAAGCGCATTGTGTCAGTATACAACACATTTAATGTGTTTGGCTGGCACTAATACACACAGGGCACATCTGTCAGCGTAGAGATTGCTTCATTAAATGCACCCATATCAAAAGAACAACAGGTGACGTCTGACGAAATCAGGTCGCTCGCAAACAATGAACATGCGAGGTCGTGTTCACAAAAGTGTCATCCCAACCTACTTTCAAACAGGCCAGAATTTCTAGAATTTCCAGGAATCATCCCGCTGCGACATGACTTGTAGTTTCCAAGGTTCAATCCTCGAACCTTAAAAACTAGAGGACTTCTGTTATGCCTAAAAAATAAGGGCTGACGTAAGAACCAGCCAGCCTGCAAGAGTCAGATCATGGGTACAACCACAGCCTGCTTCCGTCAGAATAGTGGGTACGCGTCAGGCCAGCCAGAAGCTGTGGTGATCTCATATGTTCAATCCCTGCTCTAAATTGCGCAAATCACTCTAGAAGGTGGGCAATGTGACATAAAGAAGGATTTGCATGGATAATCCCACCAACTTACATATTTAGTGATCATTGCCTCAATGCATCCCACTATAAATTGGGAGCTCCTCTCTCATTAAAGGGGATTCGCACATTTTACACTTGATTAACTACTCTCTCTCTCTCCNATTTTGAATCATCTCAATCGGAGCTCAGATGAGAGAGTTATGCCCAAAATACGAAACAATGTCAAAACTGTCCGAATTCACTTAATTAGTTCCGTTTTGCAATTAACGCTCCCATTTGCTTCCTAAGTCAAAATAGAATAAAAATCAGTACATTTTAGGCAGAAAATAGGTATAAAAGACTAGGCATTAAGGGGGGTAAATTTGACATTTTGCATTCTCATCACTTCCCTGGAGGATCAAGAAATTGTTACACCGTAAAACCTGAAGGTCATGACCATTCTAAGTTTTTGATCCGAGCAAGATTCATGTATGGAAATTATGATGGCCAAAGTATCCTGCCAAGTTTTAATCTATTTCTTGAATCCGATGTATGGGATTCAGTGGAATTCAAAGACGCCTCTACAACCGTTACTAAGGATATCATCCATATCCCTCAGAACAATTATATATATGTCTGTCTTCTAAACACGGGTTCTGGAACACCTTTCATTTCAGCATTAGAGGTAAGGCCATTGATAAATTCTAGTTATGGATCACCTTCCATATCAGGATCACTGGTACTCTATGGGAGGTTTGATGTTGGTTCAACAACCAACCGAACAATCTGGTAATGATTAGTAATTTTTACATCTTCTGAATTATATATGTTGGTCTTAATTGGTGACTGAATAAAATTATGTTTCAATAAATATAGGTGCAAGGATGATGTTTGCGATCGAATATGGTTGCCAATCAACTTTCCCTTCTGGACAATAATAAGCACAACGAAAACTGATCTTCTTGAGAACAAGTTCGATGATGACCAAATACCAACTTCAATCATGAGCACTGCCGTCACGCCTGTGAATGCTAGCGATCCGTTGAAATTTTTTTGGGAGGCCAATGAAACTAGATTGTATCATCTATTTCTGCACATTGCTGAAATTGAAGAATTACAAGACAACCAGACTAGAGAATTTAACATCTCTGCAAATGGAAAGGTTTTGTATTGGGAATTTCATCCCTTCTCCTTCTATACAAGATCAGCATATAACTTGTTTCCCTTCAGTGGAACAAGAATTGACATTTCAATGAACAAAACTGAGAATTCAACTCTGCCGCCTATTTTAAACGCCCTTGAGATATACTGGTTAAAAGAATTCTCACAATTGGTAACGGAGGAACAAGATGGTATGTTTTCTTTCCTTTTCTCTCCTGGGTTACAATCAATCACTATAGTTTTTTATTTAATCCTTACCAAAATTAATCTGTGTGTAAATATTAGTTGATGCTATTATGAATATCAAGACAAAGTACGGAGTGAAAATATCAAATTGGCAAGCAGATCCATGTATCCCTAAACTTTTCATCTGGGAAGGTCTTGACTGCAGCTATGATTCTGGACTCCCAAAGATCATATCCCTGTATGTATACACATTTAAATCAAAAGGCATCCTATTTCTTGACCTTGATCGAATATTGTTAACAAAAATTATTGATTGTGTCGCTCAAGCAGAAATTTATCTTCGAGTGGATTGTCCGGGGAGATAAGTCCTTATATACTCGGTCTCACATCGATTCAATCTTTGTAAGCGTCTCAGTCTCACATAAACTTGTAAGTTTGCAAATCTGTGAGTGATAAAAATCCAGTCACCTTAACATTTTCCATCACCATTCCAGGGACTTATCAAACAATAGTTTGACAGGATCAGTGCCTGAGTTTTTTACACAGCTACAATACTTGAGAGTGCTGTAAGTTACTGGACATATGACAGTAAGAAAGGCTAGCTTGTCATAGTTAATTATATAAAAGAGCATCACATTTTAACTGTTGCAGGAACTTGAAAGGAAACAATCTCGAAGGCTCAATTCCAGCTGGACTAAAAGAAAAAGTAGACAAGGGTTTGCTGTTATTAAGGTTTATTTTCAGTCCCAAAAAAAATGTTGAGGACTTAGTGCACAGCTGGTTTCTTATCATTTTGTTGATTAGTGTGGATGGAAATCAAATCCGTTCCTCCGGGTTCATGCAAAGAGCAAAACAAGTTAACATTGTGCCTGTGGTGGCATCAGTTGTTTCCGTTTTGGTAGTTTTAGCTGCAATATTGGCAATTTGTGGATCACAGAAGGAGAAAAGGTACCAAAAGTAACAATTCCTTAACATACAAAAAAAAAAAAATTATAGGATTCACTAGAAGTAAATATGACAGTTGTTTCTACTTTGCGTTTTAGATGAAATACCTATTTACTTACTGTGTATGTAGATGATAGGTACTAATAGTAAATCAAAGCCTGATCTGTGAGTTAAAGAGAAACTGAATGCAGAATTTGAAATGAAAGAACTAGGGGATGCTAGGAAGATTTTAGGCATGCAAATTGATAGAAACAGGAGTAAATGCAAACTGAAAATTCACCAGTGTTCATATCTGCATAAGTTAGTAGAACATTTGGAATGTCAGGGTCAAAACTGTCTCAATGCCTTTAGCAAACCACTTCACATTAAGCAAGGCCCAATGCCCAAATACTGATACTGAGTCAATTAGAATGGGGACCATTCTATGCTAATGTGATTGGATCCTTGATGTATGCTATGATTAGCACTAGGCCTGACCTATCATTTGTGATATCATTGTTGAGTAGATTCATGTTCAATCCTGGTATGGAACATTGGACAACCCTGAAGTGGATACTCAAATATGTTAGTGGGTCTTTAAATGTGGGACGGAATACTATAAAAGATCTGCCTCACTTGAGTTGGATGGTTTGTAGACTCTGATTTTGCAGGTGACAGGGACATTAGAAAGTCAACCACTGCATATTACTTTACCTGGGGGGCAAATGCATCAGCTGGAAGTCCAATTACAGCTATAGTTGCCATATCAACAACGAGGCTGAATATGTGGTTGTAGCGATGTATTTAAAGAGGCAATATGGCTCAAAGGGATCCTGAGTGAAGCAAAACTGACTGAACTGAGACCAACCATTTTTTCAGACAGGCAAAGTGCAATATATTTAGTAAGAATCCAATGTACCATGAGCGAACCAAACACATAGATGTGCTATCACTTTGTGAGAGATCTGATCACTAGAGGGGAGATAATACTCAATAAGGTTCCTACTGAGCACAATCCAGCAGACATGGGTATGAAGATTGTTACAATTGCGAAGTTCAAGCATTGCTTGAACCTACTGTCCATTCAGTAAGCAACAGTAACAAGAGAACAATGAAGGACTCACTAAAGGCAAGCTGCACTAGCACAGGGGCTGTTTTTCAACCCATCAAGGTGGAGATTGTTGGATGATGGCTTGAAACGCTGTCGTATTTGCACTTAAATGGAACGACGTCGCTTTGATCTAAACGACAGAAACAATCCTAATCATTGATGAAAAGAAGATCCAACGGCTGAAATTCAACCCTAATGTCAACCATATAAAAGCAGAATTATCTTGGCAGTTTATGCATTCGATTCATTTTTCATTTTATACAAGTCTCTCTCTTTTTCGTTAAACACCATCTTTGAGCCTTTAGGGTTTTCAATTTGGATTGAGTGGATCCTGTAACTTGTTTATTGAGTGACTGGGTCAGGTCATTCTGGGTGTATTGTATACGCTGTATTTAGGGATTCGAAGGGTGTAATCTCTAGGGTGAGTTACGGGTTGAAGAAGGGGGTTTTTGAGGGATTTGTGTTGCTGTGTGTGTAAACTGTAATCTTGACAGTATTAGTGCAGCGAGCTCGTGTGATTCTCGAGTTCAACGTGGACGTAGCTTGCTCAAATATAGAACAAGCGAACCACGGTAAATCTGGTTGTTCTTGTGTGTGTTTGGTGTGATTCTTGTTCTTGTGTGTGTTTGGTGTGATTCTTGTTCTTGATCTATTGCTATTTTGGTTGATTCTTTCTGTGAGTAGTTATAACAGTTTTAATGTTTACATGTGCAGGGTTTTAGATCTTCTTCCAGTTCGGTTATTGTGTACTTCAAGGAAGAAATAAAATTGAAAGAAACTGTACTCCTATTTTGCTTAATGCCTCAAATCATGTTTATTTTCTGTGATATCTAGTATATATGGGCGTCAGTGGATCTTTTCTATTTATTAAATCGTAAGATTAATAGTAGTATATAGCTGACACACAGATAAATGAAAGCACATATGATATTGGTTTAATCATACCATCAACTAGGAAACAAAAAATACGTATCGAACAGAACTGAAACTTTTATGTCAAGAAACAGAGAAGACAACAGAGGATGGTTCTGAAATCTGAATTTTTTTTTATTTTTTATTTTTTCCATCTTGAACACCATAATCAGTGTCTAATAGATGAATTTACAGTCAACGAGATCCTTTCTTGGTCATGAGTTTCAGTTTCATACAATCAAAGTGAACTCAAGCTCCACTATCCAACTTAAAACAACTGAAGTTGAAACTAATAACTATGAAACAGAACAGAGTACTCTGTGCTTAATGCCTGATAAAATACAAAACAAAGCAGAACAGACTACTCTGTGGTTACCGTTAAAAATCAACTCTGCCTCTCTCCAGTGGTATGGCGGTGGGCAATGTCCAGAATATTCTTCCTTGCTCACCACGCTCTTCATTCTTTAAGGCAAAGAAAATCTTATTGACATGGAGCAAAGATTTTCAGTGCAAGTGGGAGATCTCTCTGGACAGATCTAGAGTTGGTTCTTCAACGACTTAAGCAACTATAAATAGCCCCACACGGTTCTACTTTGAGCAAGTGGAAAACACAAGTGTCTAAGTGCTTGTGTATGGCGAGTGCAAGTGAGTCTAGTGTGTCTTCAAGTGTCTTGTTTATTGTGTGTAATAATACAAAGTTATTATTAATTACACGTGCTCAAATCTAACAGTTACATCGATAAATATTAATATACCTTACTTGGCTTCATTATAAACATTCAAATGTTTATATAATTGAAACAGAACTTGTAGCTAGATTAATGTTGCTATCACCAAATAATTGCATGTTTATTCATGTTCCACCAATTTTTTGGGTTGTTCCAATGACTTTAATCATCAACAGCTTGTTGGAAGTCACATTATACTTATACTGGTGTCCCTTTCACCTCATGAGTCATTTACCGGGGTTTATCTTCGTACAAATTGTCCACAACACTTCATGGAACTGAACGAGTCTTTAGCAATTGAGGTAGCTGGAAAGAAAATGAACAAGGATGCTGAATCAAAAGATTCTGTGTTATCGATGAACTTGAATCTCGATACTGAATTTTCTCCCATACTAAGGTAGTACTTTCACAAAAGATATCCCACTTCACTATGCATAATTCTCATGTACTTGGAAGAAAAACAAAGAGATGAAGCAGCCATGTTCTATTTTGTGTAACATACATTAGCATAAGAAAACAGGGCTGCTGCAGTTTTTGAAGCTGAGCAGAGAAGAATGCTGCATTATTTGGGTTTTGACATTTAACTTTTTCACTGATCACCAGCATTAGTTCGCCTTGAAATGCATACAAGGGCCATTTTCGTAACTGCACAATATACATATTCACAAGCAGGGATGCATGTATGAATACGTACGTACTTAAATTCTGTACACATGAAATAAATAACTATAGATATGTGTTTTTCTTCTCCAAGAATCTATATATGCAGTATGCTACCTAAAGGAAGTAAAAAAGTTCTAAACTCTAATGAAGCAAGAAAATGTTTCCTAACAATGGTATCACTAGTTTTTTATGAAGTAATTAGCCCACTTATCAAAATATAAAGATCTAAAATCTTTTCGTGGCTAATCTACGACAAGAAGGTATGATGGTCATAAAGAAAAATAAAAAATGGAGTAATATAAAATTGGCTTGGTATGACGATGCTTACATTACTGTTGAAATGCGCCAAAGTATGCTATTTACTCTCAACAAATTGCAGTGAGGTATAATATATGGCTTAAAAGTTCAACTGAAATTACCATGCATATTTTTTTCTCAGTCGACTCTTTGTTTCCAATTAGTGACATCAGCTGCTAAACTTTTCATCCTCTTAAATAAAATTTGATTAGTTTGGGGAACATTGAAAGAAGGAAACAAGGTTTGGACCATCCTCTTGCATCCTTTAATGGAGATTTTAACATGTTCATTCCCCATCTATCTGCAAACTGATTTTCAAAGGATAAAATATTTATTTAGCTTGTTGCAACAATACCATCAGTAAGAAAACAGAAAGACATATAGAACAGGACTGAAACTTTCTGTAGAGAAACAGAGAAGACAACAGAGGATGGTTCTCAAATCTGATTTTTCTTCCAAACACCAGAGTCAGTGTTTATAAACAGTACTGCAGCCAAGGAGAGGTTTCTTGCTCAATATTTTCAGTTCCAATCAATCTAAATAACCTAACACAAAATTATCTAACCTAAAACAACTGAACTGAAACTGAAACTGAAACTTAGAAAATACTTTGTACTTACAGCCTGACAAAATACAAACAGGACAAAACAAAACAGAGTACTCTGTTCTGGCAAACTATAAAGAATAATTACCTCTCTCATAACTTGCTCTTCTTGAGTTCATTCAACATTCCACCAACTTTTTTTTGTTTTCTCCATTGACTAGATAGTCAAAAGTTTGTAGTGAGTAAAATTATCCTGGCGTCCCTTTCACCTTAACGAGTCATTTTCTAGGGTTTTTCCTGAGAATAATTCATTTATAACACTTTGTTGGAACTTTCAACTTCTATATATTGTACTATAAGGTTGGATGTAATGTAATTACCTTGTAAATTATATATCTTTGCAAGTGGGCATGAATTGAATTAGTGATCAAAAGGACTAATTAACTGGACGTTAAGAAACTATTCACATCAGATTTTACTCATACTGGTATGAATTTCATACAAGAATTTTCTCACAATATGCCTAGTGGTGTCTCTGGGGCCTTCAATCAGTCCCCTGATACAGAATTTATATTCTTCAAAAATAACACCTATTTTGTTACTTCAATATTGTGTTATCACTTATGAATAAAAGTTTAAAAAAAATAAATAAATAAACATAAACTTGACTGGAGCTGATTACTTTGATTGTATTTAATGCCAATTGTTTTTTTATCAAATTGTTACGGACAAATTTCTTTCTGTTTCACATGATAGTGTTTGAAACTGAACAAGAGTTGTTGAAGATCAAGTCATGTTCACATGATAGTGTGAGAGGATTGATTTATATTTGTGAGCAATATAAAATAAACTCTTCCGTAACGTATGGGTTAAGGGAACCGTTGATTGAATAGTTTCCAACCAATGAAGTCGACCTCTAGTCAAAGTGATCAATGAAAAACCGTGGACTTAAAAGTCTTCTGCAGGACTTTCCCGTGTAACACAAGGTGACAATTGACTTTTCTTTCATATGAGCTATGCTCTTTTTCCACATTTATGTTAAACGAAAAATTGAGTAATTGACTGCCTTGTAAAATATACTATTCATTTATGGTTGTTCACATGACATGGCACTATAAATTTTACGATTATATCTGCTTTCTTCGACTTGAAGAAATCAAAGTAGCAAGGGCGATGTTCAACACAACAGTTCCTTCAACAGTTCAGAAGTAGACATGACTGAGACCGATGAATAAAAAAAAGTAGCACAAGCCTTTTTTCTTTGTCTATGTTTAAAAGTAATGAACTTAATTGCATTGAATTTGAAACCTACGATTGGCGTATCTCCATGGCCATCAACTAGGAAACAGAAAGTACAAAATGGAACAAAACTGAAAACTTTCCGTAGAGAAACAGATAAGACAACAGAGATGGTTCTCTAATATTAATTTTCTTTTGTCTTCGAACACCGCAATCTGTTTTTATAATGCATGTAATGAGATAATTCTCTCATCAGTTCTATACAAACCAAATAAGCTCACTCAACATTATCCAACTTAAAACAACTGAAGTTAAAACTGATCTACAGAAGAGGACAGAGAGAGTAGTCTGTACTTAAGCTTATTAAAATACAAACAGGACAAAGAACACAATACTCTGTGTTACAAAAGTCCTTCTGTAGTTGGAATGCTAATATTAACATACCTCCCCTCTAAAGTGCTTCTTTAAAATAAAGGCATTTCAAGCTGCTGGAAGTTTCTTTTTGAAAGTGACTCATGTTTTTTTTTTTTTTTTTTTTTTTTTTTTTTGGTCTAAGCTTATAAACATTTATGATCTTGTTTAGTTATTCAAGTTCCACCAACTTTTTTGTTTTTTTCCATTGACTTTAATAGTCAATAGCTTGATCAAAAAGACTCAGTGATTAGAGCTTGTAGAGCGGGAATAAAGAAGAAATAAAGAAAAAAGAAAATTCTCTTATGTAATGTATGGTCTTGATTACTTTACCAAAGTGATCAATGAAAAAGTCTATGAATTAAAAGTCTACTGTAGGAGTCTCCCATGCAAGTCAAAGTTGGCACTCGACTTTCCTTTCATATGATTTATGGTCTTTTTCTCACATTTATCATACAATTGAGTAATAAAGTCATATTATGATCTCAAACACTTAACACTTACATGGAAGATACTATATAAATTGTATGATAATATCTGCCTTCTTCTTGTAGAAGAAACCAAACTGAAACTGAAACTTACAAAATTCAAATACAAACAGGACAAAGTAAAATAGAGTACTCTGTTTTACAGCACTACTTTCTGCAGTTACACACTGCTTCTTTGAATTAAAGCCTTCTTTAAGCTGCTGGAACTTTCTTTTTGGCATTAATATTTTCTTTTCCTATGCTTATAAAAGTCCAAATAACTTACAGTTTCACCAGGCAAACCATCAAAAAATAGCTACCTTCCCTACACAACTTGCTCCTCATGAGTTATTCAAAGTTCCACCAACTTTTTGGTTTTTCTATTGACTTGATATTCAATAAATTTTTGTGGCTCACATTATACTGGTGTCCCTTTCATCTTCATGAGTCATTTTCTTGGACTACTCTTCACAAATTCATTTATAACACTTTGTCAAAAATTTCTACATCTATTGTCTAGGTTGGATACTTTAATATGCATGCACCAATATTTCAAGGGTGAAACGTTCAACCTTTGAATTTTATAAACATAATGAATAATTTTACATATAATTTCTTTTAAATATTAATGTTCTCCATTTACTTTAACATAAGCTATCAATAACCAAGGGCAACTGTAACATCCTACATCGCTTGGGAAGGAAATGTGAACGCGTGAGCTACTCAATTGTCAAGACGTGTTTTGGGTTGCAAAACCAAAAGCAAAACTGTCATAGATTGTGTCTAAAGCGGACAATATTTGTGGTAGTGGCTCGAGCTATTACAGGAATTCAAATTCTACCTTGGACTAGTGTTGGTTGAGCTATTATAGGAACTCAAATGAGTGGAGCTTTTGACACCCTACTAATGGACGAAGGAAGCTCCACTTCCTAGCAAATTTTATAATGACAAATTTGTCCTTGTATCAAATTATTAATATTATAACTTTAAGTTTTATTCTTTAGAAGTAATTTTGACACCCCATTATTATCTCATAAACCCTAATTTTTTTTATGACAATGAATAATAAAGATTGGATTTGAGATATGAGATTGTTTGTAGTCATATATAAATTTATTTATTTATTTATTTATTTATTTGGTCAAAATAAATTCTACATTGGACTAGTGCTGGCCTTTTCATAAATGCTTATCACATAGATGGTTTTGTCTTTAAATTAGCATACCCTTTTCAAATTCTTTGCATGTGGCTATGACTAAGAATTATTGATCGAAAAAACAAATTGACTAAGAATTATTGATCAAAAGAACAAATTGACTAAGAATTATTGATCAAAAAAACAAATTGACTTGACCTTCCAGAATTAGCATACCCTTTTTTTATCATATTGTATTCTTGAAAAATTCTTTCATTATGAATCTGGATACAGGTTTAATCACCTAATTGGATCTCAAGCATGAAAGTCTGCCTTAAAGTATTGTTAACAGAACCACCCTGATACTTTCTAACCAAATTAATGAATCAGACATCGACTAGAGTGATCAATGTACATAAAACCCCTTGACTTAAAAGTCTTCTGTGGGAGTCTCCCATAAAGTGGGTCAAAACAAGAATTAAATTTTAAATATACTTGGTTGTTCACATGGTATATCACTATATTTATGAAGATTATGTGTCTTCATCTAAAATAAGCTAAAGTAGCAATGGAGATTTTTAAACATTTCATCTTTGAATTCCTCTGCATAGTTGCTCTCACAACGCAGCTGGTTCATGTTCAGAGTCAATCAGGTTTTTATAACTCAATTTTAAGCATTCATTTCTATTTCTATTCACTAACTATATGCATTTATACTAACATTTTCGCTCTGTCCAACCATATTTTTCCCAGGCTTTATTAGCTTAGACTGTGGAATAACAGAAACATCTGGATATACTGACAAGTTGACAGGCATAAATTACACTTCCGATGCAGCTTTAATAGAGACAGGTGTTAGCAAAACTATATCACCAGAATACAACCATAAGACCCTGGAACAACAATTCCTGAAAGTTAGAAGCTTCCCCGAAGGAATGAAAAATTGCTACACTTTAGAACCTGAACCAGGCAACGTTAAGTTTCTGATTAGAGCAAGATTCATGTATGGAAATTATGATGGCCGCGGGAAAGTGCCAAGCTTTGATCTCATTCTTGAAGCTGATATCTGGGATTCAGTGCAAATGGAAGATGCATCCACTATAGTTACCAAGGAGATCATTCATATCCCCCAAAAAAGTTATGTATATGTCTGTCTTGTAAACACAGGCTCCGGAACACCTTTCATTTCAGCATTAGAATTAAGGCCCGTGACTAATTCCACTTACCAAACTCAATCAGGATCACTACTACTCTCCTGGCGATGGGATGTTGGTGCAACAGACAAGGGAACATTCAGGTAATTTGTTTTATATCATCAAAATTTGGTAATTAGAATCTTGATTTCTAAGTAAGGCTCTATGAAACAGGTACAGAGATGACCCTTTTGATCGCATATGGACGCCCTACAACAAACACAGCTGGGTACCAATAAGTAACTCGCGGTCTGTCGATTCCAGTGCAACCAGTTACAGGCCACCATCTACTGTCATGAGGACTGCAGTTATACCAGAAAATGGAAGCAGTCCCCTGCAGTTCAGTTGGGAGCGCCCAAATACCACATCCGGATTTTATGCCTACTTCTATTTTGCTGAAGTTCAAGAGCATCTAGCCAACCAGACCAGAGAACAGACCATCTATTTAAATGGAGATCTCTGGATCAAGCCTAATGTTTTCTACTTATCTACAACAATAATTTACTGCAATTCGCCCATAGGAACAGAAAATATTGATTTCTCAATCATCAAAACTGGGAATTCAACCCTACCACCCATCTTTAACGCTTTTGAGGTATATGAGGTAAAGGAATTCCCACAATTGCTGACAGACCAACAGGATGGTATGTTCTTCCAGACCATTTCTTTTTTTTTTTTTTTTTTTTTTTTTTTTTTTTTTTTTTTTTTTTTTTTTTTTTTTTTTTTTTTTTTTTTTTTTTTTTATATCAGTTGTGGAGGATATTGTCCAGCTGTTTCTTCATTATTTATTTTTACCATAGTCCCCCATGTTTAAATTCTTATTGTTTATATATGCGTATGGGCAACTACTAGTCAATGCTATCATAAAAATCAAGTCAATGTATGGAGTGAATACAAGTTGGCAAGGAGATCCATGTAGCCCTAAAAATTATTTGTGGCAAGGTCTTAATTGCAGCTACGATGACTATAGTGCCCCAAGGATCATATCCCTGTGAGTCTTCACCTTTAAACTAGCATCCTAGTTTTAATTTTGTTAACTTTGATCCATGCCACACTTCCATTTTTTAACAAAATTATTTGTCATGCAACCAGGAACTTATCATCTAGTGGAATATCCGGTGAGATATCTCCTTATATATCCAGTCTCGCATTAATACAATATCTGTAAGCATCTCTGTCTTGAATCAACTCGTAAGTACTCCAATTATTGATGATGGCAACCATTCCAAGTCAGCTTAATATTCTCAACCACTATTTCAGGGACTTATCGAATAACAACTTGATTGGACCCGTGCCTGAATTTCTGTCACAACTACCATTCCTGACGGTGCTGTAAGTTTTCTTCATCAGGATTATGATGGATAAGCACAGATACTTCATTGAAAAGAAAATTAGGGATCATCTTTACTGTTCTCTTGCAGAAACCTGAGTGGAAATAAACTCGAAGGTTCAGTTCCAGCTGTACTAGTGGAAAGAAAGCACAATGGTTTGCTATCACTAAGGTTTGATTTACATTCAAAGCTATAGCTAGATCGTTATGATCAAAATTCTCAAAGAGTATTACCCGAATTTTCTATTCCCGACACCAAAAAATCATCCATATAGACCATATTCCGTTAAATAATAGATCTACGGACTATTTGTAGCTATCAACACTAAATATTATTATTCAAGTGTTACATTGATAGTTCTCATTTTTTCAAGTGCTATATTAATAATTCTCATTTTTCTAGTGTGGAAGGAAATCCAGATCTTTGTCCTGAAGCTTCTTGCAAAGGCAGAGAGAAAAATAAGCTTACTGTTCCGGTAGCAGTTGTTCCAATAGTAGCAGTAGTAGTCTCAATATGTATCATCCTAACTGCAATCTCTATTTTGTGGAACTTCAAAACAAGAAGACAAGGTACAAAACACCGCAGATGAAATTATTAAAATTTTTAGAACATCAACTCAACTTATGTTATTGAATTTTATATTCTTTTCCAGTTGGGAAGAAGAATGAATCATTGGAATCGAAAACTCGACGGTATAAATACTCTAATTTAGTGAGATTTACCAATAACTTTGAAAGGACTATTGGGAAAGGAGGATTTGGAACAGTTTACCACGGATACTTGGATGACACTCAAGTAGCTGTGAAGATGCTCTCTCAATCATCAGTTCAAGGATATAAGCAGTTTAAAGCTGAGGTAATTTGCTTCAGAAAATTTCAACTTCCGTATATTAGACTGACTAAAATATGTCAGTTGCTTTACAGATTGAACTTCTTATGAGAGTTCACCATAAAAATTTGACGACACTTATTGGATACTGTGACGAGAGCACAAATATGGGATTAATCTATGAGTTTATGGCTAATGGAAACTTACAATCACATCTCCTAGGTTGGTTTTGCTCATTGGATAGGATCTTTATGAAGTTTAAGATGCTTCTATTGACTTCAGAAAAAAAGTCTTCATACAATTTTTTTTATGGATACAGAAAATGATGCAGATACGTTGAGTTGGGAAGGGAGACTTCGAATAGCAACAGAGGCAGCACAAGGTTACAAATACTTTGATTTGAAATATTCTCTTTTCAACATTTTCTACTTGTCTTTTCTATCTAAGAAGTGAACTATTGTGCATTGAATTTAAAATGTAGGATTGGAGTATCTCCACAGTGGTTGTAAGCCACCCATAGTCCACAGAGATGTGAAGTCCACAAACATCTTATTAAATGAAAAATTCCAGGCCAAATTAGCTGATTTTGGTCTTTCCAGAATCTTTTCAGTCGAAAGTGGAACTCATGTTTCCACGATTGTTGCTGGAACCCCCGGATATCTTGACCCTGAGTAAGTTGTAGATGTGACTGTTATAGTATTGTAATGCAAAAACTTCAACCGTTATACACTCTGCAATTTTAGAGGCATGAAGTTGCCTGGTAATGTCAAATTGCACAATCATTTTATGAAGGAAACCTAGTCTCATGATATAATGGAAATTAGACCAAACTGAGCCTGTTTTCTTTTTCCCCATGCAGGTACTATATATCAAACAGGTTAACTGAAAAGAGTGATGTGTATAGTTTTGGAGTAGTTCTCTTGGAGATAATAACAAGCAAACCTGTCATTGAAAATACGCTTGAGAAAACTCATATAAGTCAGTGGGTGAGTTTCATGCTTGCCAAAGGGGATATTGCAAATATTGTTGATCCAAGACTACATGGAGATTTTGAGACAAACTCTGCCTGGAAAGCTGTAGAAATAGCAATAGCTTGTGTTTCTCCAACTTCTGCCAAAAGGCCAACCATGAATCAGGTAGTGGTGGAACTGAATGAGTCTTTAGCAATGGAGGTAGCTCGTAAGAAGATGGGCAAGGATGCTGAACCAAAAGATTCTATGTTATCGATGAGTTTGAATCTCGATACTGAATTATTTCCCATACTAAGGTAGTACTTTTACAAAATGTATCCCACTTAACCATGCATAAATAAATTTCCGTACATGTAACAGGTCTTGGACCAATGTTCTTGTGTATTTGAAGAAACATAAAGAAATAAGGCTGCGATGTTCTTCTTTGTGTAACATACACTAGCATAATATATAAGCTCAAAATATCTTGAGGAGAAAATTCTGATAAACCCTTGGGAGTGTTTATATTATTGGTAACAGATGTCTGAAACATTTTATGATGGCTAAAATATGTAGAGAAAGGATTGTATAACACCACTCTTACTATAGCTTCTCGGCCTAGAATGGCTTACAGGCTCAGCCGGTGTCTGGCAAACCCATTTGAAAGAAAATTTGCTACCAAAGTATCAGTCTTTTATTTTTGTCCATTGACTTGAAGGTCAAGAAGTTAGACAAACACCAAGTTGCAATCCTTTCCACATTCAATGGTCGGTTCCCAATATTCTTTATGAGACAAATTCATCACAATCTCTTTGTGGATCCTCTATTGTACTATAATGTTGAATATTGCAATTGACACCCACATATCAACGGTGAAATTCAAACTTTTCAACCTCAATAACTTTACAAACCAATAAAGAACTGTAAAGTATACTGCTTTTTAAAAGTATATTTACCTTGAAAATACTGTTGTTTATTTATCAATAACTTGGGGAGAACTCAATATATTATGTCTAGTGGGAAATTTTTATTTTGACTAGATTTTATTTTACTAGTTGGGGAATCTTTTTTGGCAGGAACTTCATATTTAATTTCTCAAAATTGAAGCTTCCAAGAATTGAAGAGTCTCCCAGTAAGGACCAAACCCCTTGCCTTGCTTAACATGTGAACAATGTATAATACAAAATATGATTTGATGTTCAAATTTGAGCAAGTGGTTCATAATAACTAGACATTTCAGTCAATCAATAATATTATATTCTCCTGCTGGGAAATTTCTGACTCTTCACTTGACTGAAATCTTTAGTAAACTATTCAATGGCTTCCTTTTCATGACAGCATAAATTGTCCGATGATTTANAGATCTGGCCTTTTCCGACCAGATCTACAGTGGATCTGGCCGGAAAAGGCTAGATCGGCACACTACCGGTCAGATTCAGCCGGTAGTGCGCCATCCTACCAGATTCCAGCCATTTTTCGGTAGTGGTGGTCGGAATTTGGTAAATGTGGATTGTTGGGGTGTTTTTGTAATTTTAAAAAAAATATTTAGGGGTATTTAATTAAATTAACAAATTTAGAGGGTTTAAAAAAAATAAATAATATTGAAAATAGTATTCCCAAAAATGAGAAATTTTAGATATTTTACTGTTTAACTTTTTTAGAAATACCAAGAGTAGTATTCCCAATCTTGAACCAAATGGAGCCTTGGATTTTCTATTGACTTGATGGTCAATGAATTTTTGTGGGTCACATTATACTGGTGTCCCTTTCATCTTCATGAGTCATTTTCTTGGACTCTTCCTCACAAATACATTTATAACACTTTGTCAGAAATTTCTACATCTATTGTCTAGGTTGGATACTTTAATATGCATGCACCAATACTTCAAGGGTGAAACGTTCAACCTTTGAATTTTATAAACATAATGAATAATTTTACATATAATTTCTTTTTAATATTAATGTTCTCCATTTACTTTAACATAACCGATCAATAACTAGGGGAAACTGTAACATCCTACATCGCTTGGAAGGAAATGTGAATGCGTGAGGTCCTCAATTGTCAAGACGTGTTTTGGGTTGCAAAACCGTGATAGATTGTGTCCAAAGCGGACAATATTTGTGGTAGTGGCTTGGGCTATTACAAGAATTCAAATTCTACCTTGGACTAGTGTTGGTTGAGCTGTTATAGGAACTCAAATGAGTGAGCTTTTGACACCCGCTAATGGACAAAGGAAGCTCCACTTTTTGGTAAATTTTATAATGACAAATTTGTCCTTATATCAAATTATTAATATTATAACTTTAATTTTTATTCTTTAGAAGTACTTTTGACACCCCATTAATTTTTTTTATGAGAATGAATAATAAAGATAGGATTTGAAATATGAGATTGTTTGTAGTCATATATAAAATTTTTTTTCTTTTTTTCCTCAAAATAAATTCTACATTGGACTAGTGCTGGCCTTTTCATAAATGCTTATCACATAGATGGTTTTATCTTTAAATTAGCATACCATTTTCAAATTCTTTGCATATGGCTATGACTAAGAATTATTGATAGAAAAAACAAATTGACTTGACCTTCTAGAATTAGCATACCCTTTTTTTACATATTGTTTCCTTGAAAAAATATTTCATTATGAACCTGGATACTTGGATCTCAAGCATGAAAGTCTTTAATTGGATCTCAAGCATAAAATTCTTTAATTGGATCTCAAGCATGAAAGTCTGCCTTAAAACCCCTTGACTTAAAAGTCTTCTGTGGGAGTCTCCCATAAAGTGGGTCAAAACAAGAATTAAATATTCAATATTCTTGGTTGTTTACATGGTATGCCACTATATTTATGAAGATTATGTGTGCTTTCTTCAACTAAAATAAGCTAAAGTATCAATGGAGAATTTTAAACATTTCATCTTTGAATTCCTCTGCATAGTTGCTCTCACAAAGCAGCTGGTTCATGTTCAGAGTCAATCAGGTTCTTATAACTCAATTTTAAGAATTAATTTCTATTTTTATTCACTAACCAACATTTTTGAACCATATTTTTCGCAGGCTTTATTAGCATAGATTGTGGAATATCTGAAAAATCTGGATATACAGACAAGTTAACTGGCATAAATTACACTTCTGATGCAACTTTCATAGAGACAGGTGTCAGCAAAAATATATCACTAGAATACAACCATAAGACCCTGGAACAACAATTCCTGAATGTTAGAAGCTTCCCCCAAGGAATGAAAAATTGCTACACTTTAAAACCTGAACCGGGCCACATTAAGTTCCTGATTAGAGCAAGATTCATGTATGGAAATTATGATGGCCTAGGGAAAGTGCCGAGCTTTGATCTCATTCTTGAAGCTGATGTCTGGGATTCAGTGCAAATAGAAGATATATCCACTATTGTTACCAAGGAGATCATTCATATCCCCCAAAAAAGTTATATACATGTCTGTCTTGTAAACATAGGCTCCGGAACACCTTTTATTTCAGCATTAGAATTAAGGCCCCTCAGTAATTCCACTTACAAAACTCAATCAGGATCACTACTACTGTCTTGGCGTTGGGATCTTGGTTCAACAGATAATGGAACATTCAGGTGATTTATTTTATATCATCAAAATTTTGTAATTAGGATCTTGGTTTCTAAGTAAAGCTCTATGAAACAGGTACAGAGAAGACCCTTTTGATCGCATATGGACGCCCTACAACAACCACAGCTGGATAGCAATAAGTAACTCGCAGCCTGTCGATTCCAGTGGAACCATTTACAGGCCACCATCTACTGTCATGAGGACTGCAGTCGTACCTGCAAAAAGAAACGATTCCTTGCAGTTCAGTTGGAAGCGTTCGAATACCACATCCGGATATTATGCCTACTTCTACTTTGCTGAAGTTCAAGAGAATCTAGCCAACCAGACTAGGCAACAGACCATCTACTTAAATGGAGGGTTCTGGGTCAAACCTAACGTTACCAACTTATACGCAAAAACCAGTTACAAAACATCACGCATAGAAGCAGAAAATATCGATTTCTCAATCATCAAAACTAGGAATTCAACCCTGCCACCAATCCTTAACGCTTTAGAGGTATATGCAGTAAAGGAATTCCCACAATTGCTAACTGACCAACAGGATGGTACGTTCTTCCAGACAATAACTTTTTTTTATCAGTTGCGGATGATATTGTCCAGTTTTTCCCTTCATTATTTAACTTCACTTTAGTCCCCCATGTTTCAATTCTTACTCTTTATACATGCGTATGTGCAACTATTAGTCAATGCTGTCACGAAAATCAAGTACTCAATGTATGGAGTGAATAAAAGTTGGCAAGGAGATCCATGTGTCCCTAAAGATTATTTGTGGCAAGGTCTTAATTGCAGCTATGATGATTATAGTCCCCCAAGGATCATATCTCTGTGAGTCTTTGCCTTTAAACCAGCATCGTAGTTTCAATTTTGTTGACTTTGATCCATGCGACACTTCCATTTTCTAACAAAGTTATCGATCATGCAACCAGGGACTTATCATCCAGTGGATTATCTGGTGAGATATCTCCTTATATATCCAGTCTCGAACAAATAAAATATCTGTAAGCATCTCCATCTTGAATCAACCTGTAAGTGCTCAAATTGTTGATGATGGGAACCAAGTCAGCTTAATATTCTCAATCACCATTTCAGAGACTTATCGAATAACTACTTGATTGGACCAGTGCCTGAATTTCTGTCAAAGCTACCATTCCTAACAGTGCTGTAAGTTTCCTTCAACAAGATCATGATGGTTAGTTGGTTGCCAAAAAAAAAAAAGAATTAGGGATCATCTTTAGTATTCTCTTGCAGAAACTTGAGTGGAAATAAACTCGAAGGTTCAATTCCAGCGGTACTCGTGGAAAGAAAGCACAATGGTTTGCTATCTCTAAGGTTTGATTTACTTTCCAAGCTATAGCTAGATCTATATGATCAAGTTTCTCAAAGAGTACTGCATTTTCTTATCCCAAAACCAAAAAATCATCCATACGACCATATTCAGCTAAATAATAGATCTATAAATGGACTATTTGTAGCTGTCAGCACTACATATTATTATTCAAGTGTTACATTAACAATTCTCATTTTTTCAAGTATTATATTAATAATTCTCATTTTTCTAGTGTGGACGGAAATCCAGATCTTTGTCCTGAAGTTTCTTGCAAAGGCAGAGAGAAAAATAAGCTTACTGTTCCAGTAGCAGTTGTTCCAATAGTTGCAGTAGTAGTTTTAATATGTATCATCCTAACTGCAATTTCTATTTTCTGGAACTTCAAAACAAGAAAACAAGGTACAAAACACCGCAGATGAAATTATTAAAATTTTTAGAACATCAACTCAACTCATGTTATTGGATTTTATATTCTTTTCCAGTTGGGAAGAAGAATGAATCATTGGACTCGAAAACTCGACGGTATAAATACTCTGATTTAGTGAGATTTACCAATAACTTTGAGAGGACTATTGGGAAAGGAGGATTTGGAAAAGTTTACCATGGATACTTGGATGATACTCAAGTAGCTGTGAAGATGCTCTCTCAATCATCAGTTCAAGGATATAAGCAGTTTAAAGCAGAGGTAATTTACTTCAGAAAATTTCAACTTCCTCATATTAGACTGACTAAAATATGTCAGTTGCTTTACAGATTGAACTTCTTATGAGAGTCCACCATAAAAATTTGACGACACTTGTTGGATATTGTGACGAGAGCACAAATATGGGATTAATCTATGAGTTCATGGCTAATGGAAACTTACAATCACATCTCATAGGTTGGTTTTGGTCATTGGATTGGATCTTTATGAAGTTTAAGATGCTTATATTGACTCCGGGAAAAAAGTCTTCATACAATTATTTTTATGGATACAGAAAATGATGTAGATACGTTGAGTTGGGAAGGAAGACTTCGAATAGCAACAGAGGCAGCACAAGGTTACAAATACTTCGATTTGCAATATTCTCCTTTCAAAATTTTCTACTTCTCTTTTCTATCTAAGAAGTGAACTATTGTGTATTGAATTTAAAATGTAGGATTGGAGTATCTCCACAGTGGTTGTAAGCCACCCATAGTCCACAGAGATGTGAAGTCCACAAACATCTTATTAAATGAAAAATTTCAGGCCAAATTAGCCGATTTTGGTCTTTCTAGAATCTTTTCAGTCGAAAGTGGAACTCATGTGTCCACAATTGTTGCTGGAACCCCCGGATACCTTGATCCTGAGTAAGTTGTAGATGTGACTGTTTTAGTATTGTAATGCAGAAACTTCAAACGTTATATACATCTGCAATTTTAGAGGCTGGAAATTACCTTGTAATGTCAAATTGCACAATCATTGTATGAAGGAAACCTAGTCTCATGATATAATGGAAATTAGACCAAACTGAGCCTGTTTTCTTTTTCCCCATGCAGATACTATATATCAAACAGGTTAACTGAAAAGAGTGATGTGTATGGTTTTGGAGTGGTTCTCTTGGAGATAATAACAAGCAAACCTGTCATTGAAAATACGCTTGAGAAAACTCATATAAGTCAGTGGGTGAGTTTCATGCTTGCCAAAGGGGATATTGCGAATATTGTTGATCCAAGACTACATGGAGATTTTGAGACAAACTCTGCCTGGAAAGCTGCAGAAATAGCTGTGGCTTGTGTTTCGCCAACTTCTGCCAAAAGACCAACCATGACCCAGGTGGTGATGGAGTTGAACGAATCTTTAGTAATTGAGATAGCCCGTAAGAATGTGGGTCGAGAGGCAGAATCAAATGATTCTATTGTATCCATCAATTAAAATCTGGATACTGAGTTATCTCCCCAAATAAGGTAGTACCTTCGTGAAATATATCCTACCTCTGAATAGATGTAATGCCTAGTCATGTTCCGGATTTTAGGCCTTGTTGTACTAAAATTTGTGTCAAATTCAAGTGAAACAAAACAAAATCAATAATATTTCTGCTTTGATTAATATAATTTTTTTTCTGAAAAGAAGAATTGGTGTGTTAAACATGGGACTTTTTTCTGTTATTTTCATTTTCTTTGAGTGTCAAGTAATAATTTATTGATCATCAATCATCTTTGTTGGAAAATTAATTGTTTGGTAGACAATAAAGAATATGAACTAGAATGGTGCAGGTAATATTTTGCTATTCCACAAGCAGTTTCTCAGCTGACCGATACAATTACACCGATTCAAACCGGTTAGTCAATGCTGACGATATCTTCTAGACAATCTTCTTAGCTCAAGTTAATTTTACAGATTGTGTATGCAATCTGTATGCCAATTGTTGAGCTCTTCTACAACCAGAATATGTGCAACTGTTGTAAACTGTATATGTCTCTTGTAGCTTCTCTTCCAAAACATGGGGATTCTTCTCTTTTTCTCTACTTCTTTGGGCATTCTTCCCCTCAAGTTTGTGACATCAGGTCATTGAAAATCTTTGATTAGCCTCCATCTCTATAAATATGTTTTCTCTCTTTGATTTTTCTCTATATCTAAACACCTCTTTTGACCTCCATTTCACATCAAGTTAACGCTGGATCATCCCCCTCTGGCCCCATTTCGTGTTGAACTAGTTTCTACTTGTAAATGAAAACACACAAGACAGTAGAGCTGAACTTTCTATTACAAAACAGAGATGATTGCAGGGGAAAACCAGGCCGCAAAAAAAAAGTCACAACTTCGCTTGTATTGTTAGATATGGGGTGGACTTTCATGATAAAGCTATGTAAAATATTATTTTGTTGGAAAGATTTTAGTTCATTTATTTCGTGTTTGACCATTTCAGCTGAAGTCGTTAACTACTTATTTAATGGAGATTAGTTATTGTGAAATTAACCCACCTGCTTTTTTAAATTGACTCAAGGATTTTGACTTTGGCTTAGATAGACAATATTCTTGCAATAATAAATGAATTTCACAATTGATATGCTTAATGAACTTCAAATTCTTTGCTAAATTTTGAAGAATTGGCAAAGCATGCATGTTCTGCACAACGGTGATGCTGGAAGAAATTGATGATGGTAATTTGATGCAGACATTTCAGTTGAATGAAGTTCACACTGCCATGTTAAATCAATAATGTTGACAAGGTCTCAGTTATAGAAATAGTCTCAACATATTCTCCATTTGTCCCCCTTTAGAAATTTCAAAGACATTTCACATACCTTTGAACAATTCAATTATAAACAATTTTCTTTCCTGAAAAAATTCCTAAGAGCAGTTTTCATGCTTGTCAAATGTCAACATTATGAATGTTTACAGTCCCATACAGCCATGTGTAGCATGCTGGTGAATGAGCACAACATTTAACATTGCTATCAAGAAAGTTTCCTGCTAATTACAAATTTTAACACTTTCGGACTAAGAAACTGCCCGTAATGGACCGGTTCATCAACCTAATTGGCTGGTAAACTATTGACTACTTTGCTAAGACATTTCAATTTAATTTTGTTAACTTGCAACAAGAGGACACCATTTATGAGTTAAAAATCTGAGTGAAGCCATTGGAATCAGAAGATCAAGATGAAAAGAATGGCTAACAGTCTTTTCCTTGCAATACTGCATGGTGCCTCTGCTCTCGTTGTTCTAGTTCTTGCACAGGATCAATCAGGTTCGAAAATCTCAACTTTATACCACCAACATCATTTAAGATTCCCATATCAATTATCTCCTCTTCCCTTTTGTATCAGGTTTCATAAGCATAGACTGCGGGATACCAGAAGAGTCAAGCTACAAAGATGGCACAACAGTGCATTGATTAGTTTCTGATGCAAACTCATAGACACTGGTGAAAATAAGAGTATATCCCTTCAATATAGGAGTTCCCTTACACGGCAGTTCTTGACTGTCAGGAGCTTCCCTGAAGGAACCAAAAATTGTACACCCTACGGCCCAGAAGGGCAAAATGAAAACTATTTGATCCGAGCGCAGTTCATGTATGGAAACTATGATACCAATGGCCAACCGCCAGAATTTGACTTGTATCTTGGCGTTGACAGATGAATTCGGTGAAATTGGAGGATGCATCCTCTATCATTACCATGGAGATGAACATGTTCCCTCATCAGATTATATATATTTTTGTCTTGTAACACATCTGGGACACCTTTCATATCAGCATTAGAGCTAAGGCTTCTGAACAATATACTTATGAACTAAATCCGGATCACTTGAACTATATGACCGAGTAGATTTTGGTTCAACCAAAATGGAGAAGTCAGGTGAGATATTTTCAATCACGTTCTATCAAATTATGCTCGTAAAATACCTTTTCAATTTCACTTCAAATATTATGGATAAAATGTCTCACTTTTTCTTCAAATACCTCAATTAGGTTCCCTGATGATGTTTACGACCGAATCTGGAACCCATTTAGTTCCAAGTTCTGGGATGTTTGAATACTAGTTCAAAGATAGACTCTGATGTTCACAATGGCTACCAACCAGCATCAACTGTCATGAGCACTGCAGTGACCACACAAAATGGTAGTGATGTCCTCACATTCATTGGAAACTAATGATCTTAACTCCCAATTTTATATCTACATGCACTTTGCTGAAGTCCAAGATCTTCAACCAAATATAAGAATTTGATATTTATCTGAATGGACAATTATGGTTTGACCCCTTGTTCCCCTTACTTGATTACAACAACAATATACAGCTAGGAGCCATGAATGGGAGAAGTTTCAACGTCTCCATCAATCCGACAAAAAATTCCACTCTTCCCCCGATTATCAATGCATTGCCTATATACAGTAAAAGATCTACGATCACAATCGAACCAACAGGACGGTAGGCTCTCACCTCTTATCACACATGTGACTGCCTCTTTACAATTTTTGCTGCATTTAACTTCTCATCTTCTTCATTGTTTAATAGTTGATGCTATGTTGAACATCAAGACAATGTATAGAGTGAAGAGAAATTGGCAAGGAGATCCATTGTTGCCTAAAGATTCTTTTGGGATGTCTTAATTGCAGCTATGATTCTAATCAACCCCCCAGAATCACATCCTTGTAAGCATATGCTTCATTGAAGCATACTGATTTTCATATTAGTTTCACTATCCTCTAATTCCAATTTTCAAAAACTTTCCATCAGGAACCTGTCATCAAGTGGATTATCTGGGAGAGAGCCCTATATATCCAATCTTAAAATGTTACAAAATCTGTAAGTATCCATTACTGATGAAATACATATTTCAGAACTTCACCTAATCTATCAACATCTTTTCTAATGAAATTATGTCAAATGATTGTGGGATTTATCAAACAACAGCTTAAATGGACAGTGCCAAACTTTTTGTCACAACTGGAATTCTTGAAATTGTTTGAAGTTTTTTAAATTTGGCAACTAATATTTGTAGTTGATTCCTTGTTTAAGAATACTGAGGACCTATCAGTTCTGCTTTGTCGAAACCTCGAAGGAACAATCTCTCTGGCTCACTTCCACCAGAACTCCTGGAAAAATCAGAGAATGGATCACTATTTGAGGTGTATAACTTGTCCTTAGATTCATACTATTTACGATTATTATAATTTCATTTTTCACACTTTTCATGCAATGATTACTGTTACAGTAGCTATATTCAACAATAAAACGTGAAATTGCTGCAAGCATTTCTTCATATTTAAAATGGTGGGAAATGGTTTGGATTGTTTCATTATGTTAATAAATAACTTCAGTTCTTAATGATGCAAGTGCGGATAAGAATCCATCTTTGTCAACGAGCTTCTGGCACAGTGGAGAAAAAAGTTTAAGTTCCTTGTTCCTGTAGTAGCATCAGTTGTGGATTTGTGTTCTTTTAGTAATAGGGGCCATGTTTTGGATCCTTAAAAGGAGAAACAAGGTAGAGTAATTGTGTGATTCTCAAAGCTTGAAATCATTGACCATAGAAAGTAAAATTTTTAAAAGGATATTGAATGAAAATATGATCTTTGAACTTGTAATGATCATACAGGCAGGATACCGCAGCCACCACCACCAGGAGTTGAAAATCGAATCAAACCAAAAAGATGAGACATCGAATTCAACAGGACAGTTTCGTACTCTGGATTCTCAGATTACCAACAACTTTGAAAGGCAGTTGGAAAGAGGATTTGGAACAGTTTACCATGTTACTGGGGGACACTGAAGTGCTGTGAAGATGCTCTCTCAGTCATCAGTTCAGGGTACAAAGAATTTCAAGCTGAGGTGATTGATTACTCCTGGAATTAATTTATCATATAGCATTCAATCTCAAAATTCATTCTTAGAAACTTGTATTCAATTACCATCAACAAGATTGACTCAAATTACAGGCCAAAACTCTGATGAGAACTCATCATAAAACTTGACCTCTCTGTTGGATATTCAATGAAGGCACCCCTTGGGCTATATCTTGAGTTTGGGAAATGGAAACTTGGAAAAGATTCTATCAGGTGACAATCTTATTGAAATCCTATATGATTTATGAACTGCATTTTACTTCCATTAACAACTTGCTTATTACTTCTCATGGCAACAGAAGAAATCCGAATTTCTTAAGTTGGGAAGAGAGACTTAGAATAGCATGGGATACAGCACAAGGTCAGCAAGTAGATGTAGTTTTGTTATGACTTAATAAATCACTTTTGCAGCACTGATTATGCGAGTGTTTGAAATTTGACTTGCAGGATTGGAGTATCTACACAATGGTTGTAAGCCACCAGTTATCCACAGAGTGTGAAATCTACAACATTTTATTGAATGAAATTATCAGGCAAAACTGGCTGATTTTGGAATGTCCAGATTTTTCCAAGTTGAGTGCACTACTCATGTGTCAACTGTAGTTGCTGCACTCCAGGTTACCTTGATCCTGATAAGTGTTTTCCCTTTAACCTAGCTGAGTTCAAATCAAATACCACAAATTGACTGTCTACTAAGGAACTCCTTTTTTATACCAGTTGTCAAATCCACCTCAGGATTTGTTTTTTAACTTCAGGGTTATTCACCCAAAACGCATCTACTTAGTCATGGGGATCCAAGCTTTATATTAGTTAACATGATATCTAAGTTGAATCCTCAACATGTCGAAACAGCTGCTAACTGCTACTGACATGACTTGCTTGTTGTTGCAGTGTACTTTATCTCAATAGATTGACTGAGAAGTGATGTGTTTAGCTATGGTGTAGTGCTCAGAAATAATCACAAGCAGCCAGCAATAGCAAAAAACCCTGAAAGAACTCTTGTGGCTGAATGGGTAGTTTCATGCTAGCCAAGGGGGATATAAAGAACATTGTTGACCCAAGATTACAAGAGATTATGGCATGAACTCTTTATGGAAGGTGTTAGAGTTAGCAATGGCTTGTGTGTCACCACTTCCACTGAAGGCCACCATGAGTCATGTGGTGATGGAATTAACCAGTGCCTGAAGATGGAGATGGCTCGTAAAAATGACAGAGTGAGACTGAATCAGAAGATGTAGTTAAATTGTTTTGCCATGAATGTAAATCCTTGATGGGTCCCAGAGCAAGGTAGTGAAGCGTGCAAAAGTTATTAGTATGACATTGAAGCTTGTAGTATTACTTGTATATTTGTCTCCAAATTTTAGAAAGTGATCAAATAATTTGTAAAGTCATCTCGGATATAAAACATTGATGTTATATTTTGTAAAAGTCTCAGTAGAGTATTAGTTACCTATATAAATTTAATAAAAATTCATTATATATGTTTTTGTTTTATACATAATCCTATAATCATATGTATTGTCAAGTATAAAAAATTTAAAATATTAATAATATTTAAAAAAAAAAAAAAAAAAGATAGCGACATACTATACTTACAACTCAATCTTACAATTTCTCTTACAACCTCGACGTAACAACTCGCAATGAGTCCTGCTTGCCTAATAATGGTCTCCTACCCAACTGCGGCTGCAATTGCGAGTTTGTTATGTCAAGGTTGTAAAAAAAAGTTTGTAGATTAAGTTATGATGTCGATCTTTATTATTTTTTTAAGATTTATAAATGATATATTTTGCATACACAAAAATCTTTTAGTGCCATGACGTTATCATTTCATCTAATCATAGCACAAATATCATGTATAATAATATACTACACTACAACATTCTCATATACACTTTTATGAAAAAGATGATTGAGTGAAAGTTTAATTTAATTTAAATCATCAGTCATATTTGTCACATAATTTTTATGAGAAATTGTATATGTTAATATTACTCTATCTATACTATGATCGAACGGATGCACATATACGAATTCTTCAAACAATTTTTTTTTTTTTTTTTAACTTTTTGAATGTTTGAATATTAAACTTGGAATTAAACTGGGAAAAAAAATTATTTGATAGCGATTTGGGCTGGGTCAGAAAGAGCAAAGGGCCTAATTCATTCCTGAGCCCACCCACGGAGCCCAAATTACCGAACAGGCTGAATTGGGCTTAGTGTAATTGAGAATACATTATTGATCCAAACTTAAAAGACTTTTTCATTAGAGAAACTCAAATTTGCTACTTCTCTTGCTGACACCGAGCAAAATTGGAGTCAAAATAATACTGCCGATTAAATATAGACAGTTAGTTATTGCTTTTTAGAAGAAATTTAGGGCATCGTTTCACAACCACACTAACAGAAGCCCTGCAAATTGTGTAAATAAATGACCAAATTCATCATACTCTACATTGCTATTACGCAATAAATCTTCTTGAACAACAAAATCCCAATTTCAACGGCAGCACACATGAATTTGTCAAACACATAATTGAATTATTCATGTGTTGTTGACTTCAAGAAAAAAAAAAAACAAACAAACTATTCTTTTATTCTCTATAAATTATTTGATGTAAAAGATGTATATAAAATCAGTTATAAACTCAAGCGTCATAGATTTGACTTATGTTAGAGGTGCAAAAACACTTCTTTTTTTAACTAAGGTGTCTGAGCTGGCTTACACGCATCTCGACTAATCCTTGTGAGAGATTAATACATTAACCCATAGTCACGACTCTCCACTGAAACCATGTAATAATCCACACTATCTCCAATTCGTCTAAATCATCTGGGATACGCACAGATGAGTAAGGTGCATAGACACTTAACTATAAGCTATATAAGTATGGTTTATACATCACATTTCCAGAAACTATAAGCTATATAAGTATGGTTTATACATCACATTTCCAGAAAATCATAAGAACAAGAGTAACTTTTGCATGAGAATAAACTAATCCTCATATCAAATCCTAACTACTGGGTATGATACAATCCCTGAGGACTTGAAGATCCACAGCAATAATATTGAGTTTGAGAAGTCAGCAATTTCTGCTGTAACGTTTGGTTTATGATTGAGAGCCAATGGTGTGAAGGCAACCTGTAAATTATATAATATATGCTTTGAAAACTATACAATACTTNCATTTTATGACAAAAGATAATCAGGTGAAAGTTTAATTTTAATTTAAAATCAGTCAATCATATTTTGCCACATAATGTTATATGAGAAATATTGTATAAAAATATTGTATATGTAGTATTACTCTATACATCTATACTATGATCGAACGGATGCACATATACGAATTCTTCAAACAATTTTTTTTTTTTTTTTAACTTTTTGAATGTTTGAATATTAAACTTGGAAAAAAAAAAATTATTTGATAGCGATTTGGGCTGGGTCAGAACGAGCAAAGGGCCCTAATTCATTCCTGAGCCCACCCAAGGAGCCCAAATTACCCAACAGGCTGAATTGGGCTTAGTGTAATTGAGAAGCCATTATTGATGCAAACTTAAAAGGCTTTTTCATTAGAGAAACTCAAATTTGCTACTTCTCTTGCTGACACAGAGCAAAATTGCAGTCAAATAATTCTGCCGATTAAATATAGACAGTTAGTTATTGCTTTTTAGAAGAAATTTAGGGCATCTTTACACCGCCAAACTTACAGAAGCCCTGCAAATTGTGTAAATAAATGACCAAATTCATCATACTCCACATTGCTATTACGCAATAAATCTTCTTGAACAACAAAATCCCAATTTCAACGGCAGCACACATGAATTTGTCAAACACATAACTGAATTATTCATGTATTGTTGACTTCAAGAAAAAAAAAAACAAACAAACTATTCTTTTATTCTCGATAAATTATTTGACATAAAAGATGTATATAAAATCAGTTATAAACTAAAGCGTCATAGATTTGACTTATGTTAGAGGTGCAAAAACACTTCTTTTTTTAATCAAGGTGTTTGAGCCGGCTTACACACATCTCGACTAATCCTTGTAGGAGATTAATACAACCACCCATCGCCATGACCCTCCACTAAGACCATGTAGGTATCCACACTATCTCCAATTCTTCTAAATCATCTGGGATATGCACGGATGGGTGAGGTGCATAAACACTTAACTATAAGCTATATAAGTATGGTTTATACATCACATTTCCAGAAAATTATAAGAACAAGAGTACCTTTTGCATGAGAATAAACTAATCCTCATATCAAATCCTAACTACTGGATATGATACAATCCCTGAGGACTTGAAGATCCATAGCAACAATATTGAGTTTGAGAAGTCAGCAATTTCTGCTGTAACGTTTGGTTTATGATTGAGAGCCAATGGTGTGAAGGCAACTTGTAAATTATATAATATATGCTTTGAAAACTATAAATATTTCTAGAAGAAAATGACAAGTTCGTTCCTTTATTTGGTTATCTAATAGTCAGTTGATCATCTTAAAGAAAAGTAGCTGTCCACAGCAATAATACAAGAAATAGATGTATGGTTTGATCTCATTCACATGAACCGTTCAATAATTTAAAGTCAATATGAGAAGTTTTCTGCACGCAATGCAGATTGATTACATATAGAGTTAGAGACCACCCTTTAAAGCCATCTTGAATGAGCTAGCTAGAAATTAATGTAAAAACAAAAGCCCTGAAGAGAGATCTGGGTTCCTTTCACAACAGAATAATGTCTATATTTAGCAGATAGCCCCCACCCGTCTTTGCTCCAATCATATCATGCTTTACAATCCAACCCAAATGTACCCAATTGCATCACCATTTTATTATATATATATATATAATTAGGTTTAAGAATGTATTGGGTTAGGGAATATATAAGTGTGATTTGATCAAGTAAAACAGGAAGTCACCTGCCAAAAAAGAAGCATAAACATGTGCTAAGCAATGAGATTGGGGAGAGTTTCAAGAGCACGCTTTGGATTGATTTAAGGAGACAGGACCACTGACTAAGGCTCACGGTTCTTAAGAGAATGTCTCTCTCTCTCTCTTTGCATTGGTTAGATAACAAAGAACATTAAAATAACACCCCATAAAGATCTCCAAGAAAGTGATGATCAGCTAAGTACAGTTCATTAATTTAACACAAACTGATTAAAATATAAGCTCACTTTCTATCCCATTGATCTTAATCATAAGTGCTATAATTGCTAAACCTTTCCACTCCATTGAAAATTAGATAAAATTTGACAGAAACAAAAGCTCTTGGGAGGTGGGTTTCATGATGGCGGTAATTGGAAAACTATGATTAGTGAAATAATCATGAACATAATCATAAAGGATCTTGGATATCTTCAGGTTTTTGTACTTGTTTTTAGGCTAAAATGATGGGGGTTTTGCATGTTAATCTTTCATCATGAAGTGAATGATTAAGGAACATGGTTAGAAATCTTTTTTTTTCTTTTTCCTTTTTTTCTTTTTTATGGGCATTTTGGATTAGGGTTCTGAAGAGAGAAAGGGGTTTGCATGGGAAAAGGCTGGTTGAATAATGGTAAAGAAGAGAAAGCAAGGTTTGGAGGTGGACCTTATTCACTACTGACGACTCGGGTTTCTGGCTCAGGTTTTCTAGTCTTTAACTTGTGATCTAAGGAATTTAGATAGTTTCAGCTTCATCAAGCATGGAAGCAGTGTCCATTTTGCTTCCACCAGCTAGCCTTTGAAGAACCCTAATTCTTTCGCTTATTCCCTCCTTCTTTGCCTGGCAGCCACTGTTTGTGGATCAGTTGATATTCTAACATTCTTTCTCTTAGGCTTTTCCACCACTTCCAGGCCTAGGTTCACCGGCCTGAATGCCGCTGCTCGGTATATCATCTCTTTCATGTGAGCAATGGCCTCAGATCAGGCTCCTCTATTGAAGAAGATACTGAAGAACTTGGCTGTTGAAAGTTAATGTTTGATGATACTTGGACGCTTCTCTGATCTCGGTTTCTTCGCTTCGGAGGGTTCTCGGAAATAAGCCTAAATCCACCTTCTGCAAGTGAAGAATGATCAGTACTTTGAAGAAGATAAGTGGAGTATATTAGATCATTTCTTCTCTTTAAAGTTGAATCTGCAGGCTTTTTCTCTTGACATTGGCCATTGGGACATATTGTGATGATCCGAGGAACTTGGAGAGACTGTTTCTTCAATCTCATTGACTGACAATTGAACTCCTTGTTATTTCGCATGGATGAGGCATTGTTCTCGACTCGCCTGATGAAACTGTGCTATTGGTACCAGTTCCATAATTTCTTCTGCAATCAGAGAAATGATGGAGATCCCATCATCTTCAACTGATGTATCAGTGTTGCTATTACTAGCTGAGAGCAAACAACAAGAACTCAAGAGAGCATGTTGTTGAAACACCTGCAGCCTTTCACTTTGCAACCCATTATCAATAATTGTGACTGATCAGCCATGCCAAACCCAATATTAGCCACCAAATTGCTCATTGAAGTTGTGCCATAAGCCTGTTCATAAAAGGAGAAGAACACAATTCTGCCACCTTGTTATAGCTCCTAAGCCTCTACCTTCTTGAAGCTGCAAAAAATTGAGCATATCTATGTACATGAGAAAATCAATATTGTATTGAACCTAACATCATATAGTTGTTGAACAACTGTTTCACTTACTTTTTGAGGACTTGAATTTATAAGCGAAGCTTGAGCTTTCTGAATCACATGAATTGGATGGAAGATATCTTCTGTTTGATCTATCTTGCCACCATAGCCATAACAATTTGAGTTATTAGAAACCATGAAGCTTTCTTCATCTTGTTGGTTGGTCCAGCCATGCCATCCCACACTATCCATGGATAAAAGAATTCCCCCTAAAGAAACAGTAAGATTCTGATTCTTTTATACCTGTAAATCCAGTAACACAAAATATCATCAGAAACATATCGAAGAAAACTAGAACTTAAAAAAAAAAAGGTTAAATCTCAGTCATAGGACTAACCAATATCAGATCCAGAAGAAAGAATATTTTGTTGAAAGAATTGGATCAAAACCTCAGCTTGATATCACCTTCTTTATCAGTCTGGTACTACCACACTAACCAACTTCTTTAATTCTATATCACGAAAACTGTGACCAGAAAGAAAAAAACAAGAACTACTAACGTCAGTTTTGGCAACTAAACTCTTTCCACCAATGTAAAGAGACAACCCAAAACAGAACTCAAGAAAACTGGTACAAAAATCCATGCAATAAAACAACAACACATAGCCACTACAAGAAAGCTATAGAAATATAAGATGGGGAAGTGCTAATTCTCCTACCTTGATCTGAGTAATTTTGAAACAGTAGAGTTTTAGTCGGTTATAGGCATGCTTATATAGATAGGAAGTACAGAAGGGTTGAATTTAAAATTTGTAGAAAGTACTTAAAAGAATGAGGAAATTAGAAAGAGGGTGAATAAAAAAATAATATCAGCAGTTGAAGGGAGATGTAATGGGGTTTGAAAAGATAAGGCTTTTTGATCAGTTTGGTGGAGGGTGTAAGAGTATATTTCTGCAGATGGGGAGCATGAGATTTCAGAGCAGCATTTTTAATCTTAACTAATTAATAAATCAATTATTTATAAACTTAATATATGATATTTTTTTTGTTTTCTCTAAGTGGGGAAAGCTCTGACTCCCCTTTTGGTTGCTCATGCGCACTGTAAAGTTTGAGTTAAAAATTGCAGAGATAATGTGCATCTCTTTTTACTGTACTACTCTCCCCACTCTCTTTCTAAAAGCTTTCCATTAATCATAGTTATAATCATAACTACAATTAGTACTACTGCTTTCACTTTCTGCTACAGGCCATTCTTTTAATTAGTTCCTGGCTATTCATCATACATCTTAATTCAATAATCCAACTTGCACATATGTGTTTTAACTCGAAAATACATAACCAAATTTCTTGCCTTTAAGAATCTGTAAAATTCTGTCTTTTAGTACATTTATGTCGCATCCTCGCGATGTTCACATTTATGATATCATTGCTTACGTGATAAATGTCAATGGTAAACTTGTAGGAAGGGAAAAGGGAAGTGTAAAAATCGATGTATAGGATATGTGTAAAAAGATGAAAACCTGAAAAGGAAGTGTTGCAGGTACATGAATTCATAGGATTATCATTTTGAACATAAAACTAGGTAGTGGGGATGGTAGAACATGAAAGATATTGGCAGGCAAGGAAAGGCAGAGGCAGAGAGGCAGAGAAGATTGCATATAAGGAAGTGATTAGAGAAATGCAGCTAATAGAATTTTGTCACAAATAATTTGAATATTTTGTATGAGTTTATTAAATATTGAGATAGTTGTACTTGTGAGAAGAGAAATAGATAGAAAGAAAGAGAAAGAGAGAGAGGCTTCTGTTCTGGGTTCTGAATCGTACCCACATGCCACCCATGAATACAGCTCAGTGAATGGGTTCCCATAGCATTTGTTGCTTTCTTCATTTTGCCACCCAGCTTTAACATCTCTCTCTTTATCAACTCTCATGTTTTTCTTCACCATCTCTGCAGATCAACCAATATTAATTATATATATTTATTAAACTACATTTTTTTCAATCAAAACTATCATCCAACATATATACAATCTCCCAAAAAAAAAAAAATACCCACTTGAAAGTTAAAACCCTAATTCTTAATCACATCCTAATGTATTTTTACATATATATATATATAACTGAGGTCAATTAAATCCCAGGAGGAGCTATCACACAGTAACTTACCGTCATGGCCCCCCAAGTAAATCATAGATAAAAGTATTATCTTCGCGCCCAATGAGAGAATCGAATCTAAGACTGTGGATTAAACCATTTATAGCTCCTTTGGTTTGTCCTTATCGTTGGGCTATCCATGGGTGGGTCACATCCTAATATTCATAAATCTTGAATTGGTAAAATAACTATAGTTTATAAGTCTTTAATTGTCTCAGCGAGTTATTATAAAAATAATTCGGTGATTTATAATCTCAAGAATTAATGTTACAGGAGGCAAAAGAAAAAAAAAAAAGTAATTTAATATAAATTCTAGGAAAATTAAATTAATGGGATTGTAAATAAAAATATAAACACATATACAGGCTAGTTAAAACAAAAAACTCTACATAAGTTTTTTTTTTTTTTTTTTTTTTAGAGTGGAATGACCAGCCCCCACTGGGCAGTGACTAGGTCCGGCCATGTTTATTACATCTTGTATTGTTAGTGAAAAACAAATTTGTGAAAGTGAAGTGGTAAAACTTAAGGTCAAAGTTATCTTTTAATGAATGATGCCAAATTGAGCCAACTGATTTGGGTGTTTTTTTATTGATAAAATTAGGTGTACTGCCAGAGTCAACAATAATGTGATTGTAATGAAATTACCTGTCCCTCTTTCTGTTAGCATTTCAAAGGCAAAATGGCACCTCATCAAACGGTGGTCTACTGCTTTTCTTTGTCCTTACTCCTTTGCTGATAATGATCTTTCAACTTGCCAATAATTCCAATCTTGACACATCACTTTGATCATTTTTATGGTTGATTTTTTTGAAATGTTATTATTCTCAACAATTAGATTTACTCCTAAAAATTAGTATGAAGAAAAATGTCTATCATTATATACATTCTAACAGTCTATTAAATTAATAAAATGGACAAATATAAATTCAACAAAAAAAAATTGATATAATTAATTTTAAAGTTGAACCTACATATCTACAAAATTATAGTTGTTCAGGTTTTATGGTTGATTTTGAAATGTTATATATCTATCCAGTTAGAACTAACTCCCAAAAGTTAGTTTAATTAAGAAAGAAGTATATATAATATACAAATTAGTGATGTGGGACAAATTAATTTCGTAAACATAATCAATATAATTGACTTTAAAGTTAGACTTCTTGATCTCTCTATAAAACAACGATAATTGTTTAAGTGAAAGTGTAATAATCTACTTTGATATCACACAAACGTGTAATCTAACCTATGTTAAGAGAGATAAAATGGTATTTGAATATATACTTTATAATCCAAATTATTCAAATCTCATCGTGAACAGTGAACATTATCTGACAAAAGAATATTGTCTCACTTCTCAAATATAATGAAATCCTAAAATTGTAGGTTCAACCAGGGTTCGAGTTTGGGGAATTTTTGAATTATCGAATAAATGCATTTTTTTTTTTTTTTTTTGTACTTCTTTTTTTTGTCAGAAGTACAAAATAGTAGAATATAAGTTTTACTATTCAAACAATCATTTAGTAGGTCGGCAATCAATTAATCAAGTGGGCTTAATCAAAACCTTGATGGGCCCCCACATTGGGCCCATGGTTGTAACTTTGTTGCCGCGTGGTCCACCACACAGTGATACACAATGTCAAAATGGCAATTAATGCAATTTGGTACTCCTCCCGCGTTATTTCTGCTAACTTTCTCCTAGCTATCCTATCATAACCGTTAGTGAGCAGTAGGCTGAAACGGCTCGGCTCAGCTCGGCCTAGCAGCTGGCGGCTCTGGTCCCGCGTGGGGTAGGCCTCACTATTCTAGCTCCTTCTATTATTACCTTCTCACACGTGAACGCAACTATCTTGTGCATACGTGGATTCCGGTGATTGGAGGTGAGGTGAGGAGATAGCCGTCTCCATGTGAGGAAATCACAACAGTGTAGAGCTGTAACTGGGACCATCTGATTGATCACCGAATCTCCCTTAAAATTTAACATTATCTTCTGGAGTTTTCATCAACGTCCATATCATACCTGATGTAGATGTGTTGTACCCTATCTCTGTCCTTTTTTTTTTTTTTTTTTCAAATTCTAATTATCTCTTAAAAAAATATTAGAAAGTTTCCTGTATACAAACTTACAGAACGAACTCATTAGTGTTTAGTGAAATGGTCAGATTTGTGATTAATACTCAGAAGGTTTAGCTTCGAGTTATCTTTTAAATATTTATATAAATTAATGATTATAACTTCTCCTTTTTGACACAATTTTGAACTTGGGTTTACTTGATTTTTAATATCGTCTCAAATACTAAACAATACAAATTGTATTGTACAATCATACTGTTAAACTCTTGATATAAACATCAATGATGGTCGGCAAATTGCATATACATAGATAAGAATATGACTGATGTGACCACCACCACCACCGTAGCCGCTCGTCGAGTAAGAATCACCTGCAATGGTGACGGCGACAAGTCACGGTGGATAAAAGGGCGTGAGTTGACAACAAAGTAGATGGTAAAGAATTAGATGTGCATACATGAACAAGAAGGTTTGTCTTTGTCACATTCAATGGCCCGAAGGTGAAGAAGAACCCAAAAGGGCCAAAAGCCCATGGACGTGTGGGGGCCCAATTATCTCTTGGCAAAGGAGAAGTCATTTTCTAGAACTGGCAGTTGTAGAAGTAATCCTAGAATAACCCAAGCTGGATTGAATGGTGGGTGAGGATGCTGATCTTGACGTGCATATCCAGAAGACATTTTTGTTGCCCTACATATCCAGATTTTGATGCTACAACTTTCCAATAATTTTCTGACACAGTCTTTGTTTTCAAGTCTTGAAGGTGATTTCCACACTTGTCTTCCTCTTTTGGGTAAATTTGGGGTGTGATTTTGATGTTTGTAAGGTTTAAAATTCAAGATGTTTGAATTACCGATCTCATCCTACTAAGAAAATTAGTAAAAATAGAGGTGAGATCGATAGGTAACAAAAGATTATATGTAACATCCTCCAACCACATCCTTTAATAGGATACAAAAAATTACGATCATCACGTATTGTCTTTACTCACTTCATTCAATAGGATTTAAATTTATCTCTTACCCATCTCAAAACTCAAAACATATTCAGTTTAACTTAAATCGATGATATTTACCATGGAAATGAGTGAAGTGACCCTATCAGATAAAAACAATACATAATTATTGTAATTCTTCAAACTCACACTGGAAACTGTGTAAAGACACTATGTCTCTTATCCATCTTACTCAAAGTGTGTCTCCCTTGACTCGAACTTAGAATATCATCCATAAATTTGTCATGTAATCGTTCATCATATAAATCAGTTTTTAATTAGAAAGAAGAAGAATAAGAAAAACAAAAAAAAGCTAAGAAAGTATGCAAGATTTGAAATATATGTTAGTCATGATCTTCCCATATTTTCCAGCTGAACTATTTTGCTTCCCTCAACAGTACTTTTCCTTTGATTGAGATATAGCTAGAGCCTAGAGACTTGCATTTTTATTAGTTTTCTAAGAATATTAATTTGAATAATGATCGATAATCAAATAAATTAGTCTTATGTATTGAAGATATTGTGCTAATCATTTATAGAGATTAATTAAGATACGCACAAATTTATCCAAATATTCTATTTAAAAAAAGATATATATTATTAGATTAAACTTTCTTGAGTGTGTTGAAATTCTATAAGGCATCTTAAATATGTTTTTAATTATGGAGCAAACATTATATTCTAAGTTTTTATAAGGTTTATTTTTCTCTTTTGATTTTAATATTTGAATATTTTTCAAAAAATAAATACATGTTTATTTCTCAAAAACGTAATCGTTTTCTTTAGAAAATGAACTTTAATAACATATAATTGAAAAAAAAAAATTGAATTTAATACTTAAAACTTAATATTTAGATTAAATAAAGCCTTTCTTAATACTAGAAAGCCCCGCGACTCAAAACGCACAGCATCATTTGAAACACTTGAACAACATGGCCACGCCACCGCCCGGAGCGATCTTCGAGGGGGCGCCACCGGTGGCGCCACAACCTCCGGGCACGGACATGACGGGGATCTGCTTTAGGGACCAACTGTGGTTGAACTCGTACCCACTTGATCGCAACATGGTCTTTGATTACTTCGCTTTGTCGCCGTTTTACGATTGGACTTGCAACAACGAGCAGCTCAGAATGCGCTCCATTCACCCGCTTGATATTTCTCAGCTCTCGTAAGTTCTTTGCAGTTGAGAACCCACTTGGGGTTTTTGCTTGTTTTGTGTTTTAGTTGGTCAAGTTGAGAGCTTTGTGCTAGTGTTGTGTATTGTGTGTTGGTTTAGTTTTTGTTGAATTGAGACTTGTTGAAGTTTTATTAGATGAAATGATGAATTGGGTTGGAGGAAAGTTTGGGTTTTGGTGATTATTTTGTTTTAAAGCTGAGATTTTTTGAGTTTACTTGAGTCGAGTGTAAAAGAACATTTCATTTTTTTAATGTATATGTTTATTTTGTAAATTGATATAATGAATGTGCGTTTAGTTTTGGTTAAATTGGGAAATTTTAGCTCGATTAGATGAATTGGGTTGAAGGAAATTATCATTTTTCCCCCTTTTTGTTCTATATTGTTTTAGCTTGTTCTAAGTTAGTAATGCTTTGCATTAAGTTAAATTTTGACTTTTGAGCCAGGTTGGGTAGATTGGACTCTCTTTGTCTTTTGGGGTCTAAGTGAGAGTGACAATTCCTGATATTAAAAGGTTAAAAGTTAATTTCTGGAAAATTAATTGGTTAGTGTACAAGCATAGTTTGTAATTTTCTTAACATCTTGTGAGCAATCTTAGTTTTATAGTTAAAAAGCGTTTGAATTTCGATTATTGGCAATTTGTAGGAGCATATGGGAAGAAAGTTAACTTTTTCAATCATACATCTTCTTTGGTTGCTGAGAAAGGTAACAAAGAAATAAATTTTGGACTCGCAACAATGAGACATTTTATTTTGAAACCAGATTAAAAGATGTATGTAATGACTAGAAAGGGGAGAGACTTGGAATTTTCTCATTTCCTCATGAACTGGCTGAATGCCCACAAGTTTATGAATTAGATAAAAACTTCCCTGAGACTACATTTTGCGAACTATAGTTGAACCCTGGTTCCCAAAATATTTTTTCACTCAAATTATCTTTGTATACTATCAACTGGCTATGTAAGACTTATCATCAGCCAATACATATCGCATCATGTAGAGTTCCAAATTTCAATTTGTAATCCTTGATGTTCATTGAATGGATGAGGATATATTATGATACTTGTGCTTTGATTATAAAAGAAAATATGTTCTGAGACAAAATTTATGGTTTAAGTTTCCACAAATATGAACACCCAAGAAGTAGAATGATCTTTGTGACATATCAACCAATGGAAGCAACGACATCAGTATTCATAGATTTTGATTCATGAGCGATTCTAAGCACATGATCATTTCATTAATTTTTCCTTTCGTAATTAATATCTAGCTATTTACACAAGCTCATATATGTCACATGTCAAAACTAAGGCTGTTGATAAGAGTACTTATATTTGACGGATTGATGGTCAAATCACTTGGTATACTTTCTCATGTTTCTTTTTTCCTTGATAAATACATGCTTTTCATGTTTCTACTGAAGATATTGCATTTCCTGGACATAAAGAGCTGACAGAAATCATGTTTCCTGCTTGAGATGGTTGGGTTAAAATACTAAAAAGGGCATCATATGTTTTTGTTCTACAGGAAAATGACAGGCATGGAATACATCCTGAACGACGTTATGGAGCCCCACCTCTTTGTTATTCGTAAGCAAAAGAGAGATAGTCCTGAGAAAGTCACCCCGATGCTTACTTATTATATATTGGATGGTTCAATATACCAATCACCACAGCTTTGCAATGTCTTCGCAGCTAGAATTGTGAGTACTGCTTATGTTCTTCCTGTAATTGTTTTACACATGCACAACAAAGTTTTTGATGAAGAAATAAGTTTAACCTTGTGCCAGAATTATATTGTAATGGACTGCTTAATTGATAAAGAAGACTGAATAAGAAAGTTAATAGAATGGAAGAATGATTCTGTATAGAAGATGTGGTTTGATGTTACTTCTTTAATCGAAAAAGTGGAGACCGTTTGCTGTACATGCTGAAACATATGATAGAGCAATATGTTAATGCATAGATAGTACCAATGGGACAATCAAACCACCAAAAGGCGTGAATAGATTTTGCCAAAAGGATTGTATGATGTCTGTGTTTCATCTATGGATCATAAGCTTTATGACTTTGTCTGATCTTATTGTATATCCATGTGACAGGGAAGGGCTCTCTATTATATAGAGAAGGCTTTTACTACTGCTGCCTCAAAGTTGGAGAAGATTGGATATGGTATCAAAGTGTTACTTGCCTTTGCTCCATTTCTCTTATATCATCAATAAAATGCTGATTTTCATTAATGATTCAATTTGTTGAGAAATAAGGGTATATCTTGTTTGTTTGTATTATGGCAGTAGAGCAGAGGTTTTTAGTTCTTTTGTCTTTTGATTGGTTTCTCAACTCTTTGTGCGCATATATTGTTTCTTTTGACTTTTGTTCCATGTGAACAAATGTTTGATCATATTCAATGAAGAAAGGCTACTTTTGATTTTGTAAGGATGATATCTTGAACTAATTTCCCAAGTTCTTTTAAAATCAATCATGGATGTGATATTCGCATGTTTGCAGTAGTTGGTCTGTGGCTACTACTGGTTCCTGTTAGTTGATTTGCATGACTTTTGATGCCGTTTAGCTTCAAGAAATTATCTAATGGGGCTTCTAAATTCCATGGGAAATTGAACTAAATCTCTGAATCTTCAGTGTTATTCAAATTGATTTTTCTGTTCGTGAAGGTATTTAAATATTTCTATTTGTGTTCCTTTAACACATTGTTCAATACTAGGATTCATATATTTGTAAACAATCTCACTTGTTGGTCTTGATTCTTGATTATAGCTCCTCCAAGTGTCTGATCCAATTTAAACGCCTCATGAAGCACAAGGGATTTATTTAATGACATCTATGTGCCTGAAAAGCAATTGAACTCTAGGAGGCACCGTGATAAGGCTGAATACAAATTGCACTTATAATTTAAGTTGTGTGAAATTAGGATAGCTATAAGCCAAATTTCATCTAAACTCCATGACTATTTGCTTTTGGTCATTTTAAAGCAGTTTATGGGCATCGTGTCTTATGAGACATCAATCCCATGTTTTTTTTTTTTTTTTTTTAATAATTATGCTGTTTAAAGCTGCTCTTATATTGCATCTATTTCTTAAATGCATTGGATGTTACTGCACGGTGATCTTATGTAATAATCAAGATTGGTTCAATGCATGTGAAATTTTCTTTGTTTGTTTATTTAACACAATATAATTCTTTTATATGATCTGATTGACTATTTGACCTGAACTTTTGTGTGATGCCATCATAACGCTTTTCAACTCTGATAGGAACCCACTCTAATAACTCAATAATTTGGGTTGGGCCATGGGTCTTTTATGGGCTTGGGTAGAACTCTCCTTGGAAAACCGGCTTGCCAAGGGAGGGTGCCCAAGCCTTTATAACCCACATGCACACCCTTTTCCCTTTCAATGTGGGATCCCAACAAACTCATTCAGAGGTTCCTTGCGAGTGTATTTAGTAGAACTTCTGTTAGACATCAGTAAATAATCTTGAATGACATTCAGTTTATCCCTGGCTTTCTTTCTCTGATCATGTAATTCTTACTTCATTCATTGCAGTTGATAATGAAAATGAGGGTGCATCTTTGGACTCCAAGGCTGGTAAAGAGACGATTGACTTTAAAGAAGTCAAGCGAGTAGATCATATTCTTGCCAACTTACAGCGAAAGGTAACTTTGAATTGTGAACAATCTCTCATGTCTCTTTAGAAAGAAGAGCTTCTATAACATGATCATCACATGAATTTTATAGATTCCGGCATCAAAATTTTGTTAGAAACAGTGTTTGTTTTCATGGATGACGTATGATTTTGATTCCATTTCATTACTATTCTAAATTTGAGATACTTGTAAATGCAATATGCAGGCAATACTTTTGGGTACAGATCATTATTCTTCTTTCTTTTTGCTGTATGGTAGAAATCACTACTTACAGTAGTAAATAGGAATGCCACAATATTTTGTAATGGATTTTGTTATGCTCACACTTTCCGTCTTGCTTGACAAACAATCAATTTATTATGAGAGCTTTCGTTTGAAATAAGAACACAGATGGTAAGGTTACATGTTGATTGCAGTGATGAAACTGGTAGATTCCCTTATGTTTTTTAAGATTATTTGCGCCACAAAAGTTCATAACTAAAATATTCTGTTTTCGCAGTTACAACCAGCGCCTCCACCTCCACCATTCCCTGATGGTTATGCTCCACCTGCAACGGCAGAAGCCGAGAAGGGTCCTGAAACCCAGCAAACAGGAGAAACACAACTTCCTGCTGTTGATCCCATCATTGATCAAGGTCCAGCTAAAAGAATGAAATTTTGAGGTAAAGCAGCCTTTCCTTCATTTTAGTGGAGTATTCGGAAACATGTACAATCTTACAGTCAATAACATAACGAGAAAGTTTCACTTAACACTCAGCTAATCTCCATTTTTCCTTGTAACTCTATGACGATTCTGTTAATTTTCTCTCAGTATATGTAAAAATATATCCATTAATCCGCCACTAGAATGTAATTTATTTCTGTGCAAGAATATGCGTTTAAAATATGATAATTAGTAACTTTCTTGACGTTTCGATTAGATGAAAATGTGTTTAATAACATATGAGAAATTTCAGATGCATATCCATTTCCATCAGCTTGATATGCATTCATCTAATTGCCATTTTTAGACTGTCCGATCGCATGCCATCATGTGTGATTATGGCAAGGCACTAGGAATAACTTGATGCAACAACTATTAGGAGAATGTTAAAGGCGTTTGATTGATTATGTGATTGCCACTTCCAAAGGACTCTTGAAACACGTAACTTGAACGCTCTGCATCTTACTGAGAAGAGTTTGGTAATTGGCAGGTGCTGAATTGCTTTGTCTACTTGGAAATTCTGGTAATTGGCACGTTTTACAAATGAAATATCTGATGCACCTCCGTTTTGGTTCTTAATTCATGCCGGAAAAATCTGGAAGAATATTTCTTTCAATGTCTTCGATGTTGATTATGTTAACAATATGGTAACCTTACCAAATAAAATCCGATAACATATATATAATTTCAGGAAGAGTAAATGATATATTTCCAAGTTGATATCCTCGATTGTATTTATTGTAGATTTTTACCCTTAAATTAATACGGTAATACTGTTAGTTATTGTTGGAGGTGGTCGGAAACGGTGAGTGATGTCGGCAAGTGAAGGTATGAGTTTTGTAGAAGAGATTGTAGAGAGTCTAACGGTGGTCTCGGAAGTGATTTTAGACTTTGGAATTGGCCGAAAAAAGTCAAAAACCGCGGCTCTGACATTGTTAATGTGAGCCATTTTTTTTTGCTAACATGAATCCATCTTTTGCTAAATAAAGTACTAATGCATTTTAGTGTTTTAATGTGCGCTAGGTTTAGGGGTGCATACGAGCCCAGTAGTGGTTGACTCGAGCTCAGCTTGGATATATTGGTAGGAGGCTTGAGCTCGACGAGCTCGAGCTCGGCTCGTTTAAGAAAACGAATGGCTTGAGCTCGGCTCGGCTCAGTTATTTATTACACGAGTCGAGCTGTATTCGAGCCAATATATAAAAAATAAATAAATAAAAATTCAGCATGCAGTATCCCTTCTGCCTTCTGATCAGATTAAATTGAATCCACCAAAATCGCATGATTCAAAGCTGAAAAGCAAAAAAAATTCAACTTCAATTGAATCAACTTCACCTAAATCTCAGAATTCAAACATGAGAAAATGAAACCTTCATCCAAAAATCAACATTCAAAGTAAAAAATAAGCTCTAAATTCAACAAACATTCATCTAAATAACATCCAAAGCAAAACACAAACTATAAATTTAACGATCCTTAATCCAAAAACAACATTCAAAGCAAAGCACAAAATAAAAGCAAATATTAGACGTATGGAATTCAGTCCACGGGAAACAAAAGCATCCTATTTCTTCAGCCGAATCATATCAACAACAAGACCAACAACTTCTCTTCTCTTGCATCCACTTGACCCATGAAGCTTCTCTTTTCTTGCACCAACAACAAAACCAGCAGCCAAAGAATGGGAAGGATATCCAGTAACTCTGGTGGACCCTCTCAGCGAATTCGATTGATAAAGATGCCATGAAGATCTTTCAGCAGGCCCATCTACAAAATCAAAGGAGCAAATAATGATAATGAGCTTCCATCTGAAAGGACTAATTTAGCTGATGCAATCCATATTAAATGCAAGATAATCCAACAACAATGAAGAAGGATCACTATTTAACTATCTAATGGCTATTTGAGAAAAAAACTTTTAAATCAATGCTAACTAGTTTCAAGCTTCCTCACTAAAAAAAAAAAAAAAATACAGTTAGCGACTCTGATGCACAAATACCATCCATGCTAACATCCCATTGTTTTCCAATTCGCTTGATAACAACAAAAACACATGCATGTGATGCAAAGACTTTACATATATCGGCCATATCAAAAGTGGTGAGTCCAGCATTTGCATAATGAAGCATATAATCAACTGCATTGTCTGTATCAATTCTACCCCATCCGCCACTTGTCTGCCGCATCCCATTCACAACCTTACATATATCTAAGATATCTTTCCCACTCTTTGGCTGCTGGTTTTGTTGCATCCACCTGACCCAGTGAATACAATTTTTGACTTTCCCCAGTTTGGCAGCAGCAAACCAAGCAATGGGAAGATGGAATGGACCCATATTAAAACTTTAATGCTGGTTGAGATTCCTTTAAGTTTTTACATCACTTTAAGCAGCAAACTTATTTTCACAAAAAACATTCTCGGTATTCTTTGAAGACTAAACAAATCTGATGTAAAAATAAAGTACACCACTTCATCCAATCATCTATAGAAGCTCCTAAGAGCTGACATTCACAATAAAAAGAATAATAATTAATTGTAGCAAAACTAATCAAAATGATCTCTCCTGCATCAGTTTTCTTTCTTTCTTTTTTTCTTTTCAATCCATCTCTTCACTCACCAGACTCCAACAATTGCATGCAACCAATATTAACTAGAGCTAAAAATAGGATAATGAGACAGCAGCTAAATGTAAACAATTTAAACAAGACAGCTAGATAGGGCCCAGGGGCAGCCAAATATGTAAATCAATTAGACAAAAACCAAATAACTTGAGAAGTATAACATTTACTGTCACTAACTTGTCACAATTCCACCAAAACTTCATAGGACTGAAACTGCTTATTTGTCTTCTCTTTCTAAACAACAAAGAAGAAAACCAATTGTTTTAGTTTGAATAATGCTAATAAAGGACCAAATAATGCCATAATTTTAATAACTTGAACTATGAAAGTATGAAACTTACTTTGTAACTTTTCTTGACTCCATAGAGATTGTGACACTAATCACCATCACAGAGTAGCAATTGCACCGTATTGGGAGACAACGATGATTGATAAGTATCAATAACTCAACTCCCAGCATTGAAAGTTGCCTCCGAAGCAACCGTGGCGATTGGAATGACAAGTATTTCACGAGCCATCGTAGATAGAATGCGATAGTTCATTTGATTTACTTTCCACCACTGTAACGCATCAAATGAGGTATCATCCTCATCCCATAACAAACAGTTCTCTCTAGATAACGATCTAACTCAGATTTCTCATGTTGCACCGTTTGAGTTGTCCTAACAAACTGATAGAACCATGAACTAGTACGTTTAGGGCGTTGTACATTGTCTTGCTGAACTTTACCGATTTCTACAGGTGGTTCACTGTTGGAAGATTGACTTTCCGCTACATATTCCTCATAAATCTCATACAAGGCATCTTGCACTTCATCAATTTTGTCTTGTGCTTCTTCATCAGGATACATTTGTGGGTAGGAAAATTGCAGCATCCTCATTTTCATCCTCGGATCCAATACAGTTGCAATTTCCATTATGAAATTGCATTCCCCCCAAAACTTATCAAACTTTTCTTTCATCTTTCCCACCATTGATCGAATGAAATCATCATCATCAGAACACTTTTCATCTAGCAACTCTTTTATGTCTACAATTTCTTGCAAAAATAAGTTAGAAGTGGGGTACTCACTCCCCGATATGACATTAGTTTTCGAGTTGAAGGCTTCCAAAATCTCACACACTTTCTCAAGTTTTTCCCAATCTTCATCTATTGGGGCACAAGTAAAGTTATTATCCAATTGAACTAACATTGGAAACATATCTCTGTATTGAATTGCAAATGCCAACATCTTATAAGTAGAATTCCACTTCGTTTTGCAATCGACTATGAGTTTCCGCTTGGGCAACTGCAACATCTGAACAATCTCTAAAAACATAATTACTCTGCTCTCTGATTGTTTGACATACAAAATACAGTCACATATGTCTTAAATGATGGGCTTAATTTGGGAAAGCCCATCCTGAACCATAAGATTCAATATGTGTGCCGCGCACCGCACATGAAACAACCTCCCACCACACATTAGCTTCTTGTTTCTTCCTAAATTCTCACTCAAAATCTTGATTGCCGCGTCATTACTTGAAGCATTGTCAACGGAGATACTGAACAGGTTCTCAATTCCCTATTCAATTAGACACTTATGAATAGCAGCAATCTCAACACCAGGTCAAGGAGCCGGTATATGAACAAAATTGAGCACACGTTTCTGCAACTTCCAATCATTATAAATAAAATATCTGGTGAGAACCATGTACTCAAGCTTCTGATTAGAAGAATTCTATAGATCAGTTGTCAAACTAATCTTGTTAATACTCTTAAGCAAATTAACCAACTTCTTCTTTTGTATCTCATGCATAGTCACACAATGTTGTTTCAAAGCAGTATGTGTTATCTTTTCCCATTGTGGCTTACCACATCTTTGCATCATGTTAAAACCCTCCTCCTCCACAAATGTAAATGGATGCTCGTGCATGAGCACCCAGTTAGCAGCTAGTTCTCACATCTTGCTCATATTAAACTTGGCATCTGAAAATACAAGTGTAGATTGCATTGAGATTTCATCTGTTAAACTAGCTGGCCGAAAAAACAACTGTGTTTGCCTTTGACTACCTATTCGCTTCAAACATGATTTCAAATGTCTTGCAAATTGAGTTATGCTCTTAGTCTCTGTTATTGCGAGCTTTGTCTTACAATGAATACACTCTCCCTTTATAGAACCGTCCGGTAGAACTACCTCTTTAAATTCATTCCAAACCACTGATGTCTTTGGTCTCTTTTTCCTCTGAAAATGATTAACTTGCTCCTCGTCAGTACGAGGGGTAGAAGCATCAACACCATCACGGGGTGTGGCTGTGGGTGTGGCATCATCATCAAACTAGGTTTCAAAGATATCTTCTACTGGTTGCATTCGTGAAGTGGAAGGGTGTGTTCGATTGGGGGTGAATGATAGATGCTCCATTGGAATAAACAAATCCCTCTGCAAAAAGAATATAAAGTCAGAAACATTAAGACAAAAACCATTCTAGCAAACTACAGAACTATAGATGACTGAAACCACAGGTGTCCTAATTTTGTACACACACCATATGATTAACTGAAACCAAAAAAAAATTAGCTGAAACTAAGCAACAT